GGGTGACTGCTATATAATAACCTCTAAATATAACGCATCTAAAAGTGTTATTCAAGAGCTGTACTTTCAATGGATATCTTCTAATGTGAATGATCATTAAGTTGAGATGTACATGCTTTGTTTCATCTCACCATTGTCCTTTCCAGTTTCTCTGTCATCATTATTACATCGACAAGACATTATATCAAACCCTATGCAATATGTGACTACAACATTTATACAACAATTTACTGTGAATATGTTGGTAGGATTAGACACTCGTGAGTGTAGCACAACACTGTGGTCCTCTGTGACAGTTATACATCACTTTTAGTCATCCGATAAATGAGAAGCCATGCTGACAGTATGAAGTATATGCAATATAGCCAGTTATACAACGGATATAGTAAACACATAGATATATGTATATATAAGATTCACATGGACAATATCAGTCACTAGACACCAGCAGGCACAGGGATCACACAATGCCTACCAATACACCGATCCCGGCGAGTTCTAGCAAGCTGGGTTCCAGAGGGGCATCTAAGCTGGGGTCTTTTCAAAGCACATAAACCATATTTGCAAGACCTATATGGTGCCACTGGGTAGCCTTGGTCAGCCTGAGTGTCGGTGGAGTACACTTTGGCAGGCTCTAGAAACTCCAGTCCTGGAATCAAATCAGGTCCCAACATGGCTTAGCAAGGGATTGATGGAGCTGGTCGTTAACAAAGAGAGCGAGGCCTGGTCGTGACAGTCACTTAATTGTGAATCTAATTAGTTGGGGCCCTCTTATGGCTAAATCCAAATTACCATAAGATATATGAAGGAGATTTCCGTTAATAGTGTAATATTAAATAAGATATTTTTTGGTTTTAAACAGTTAACTGATTAGGAAATATTAGATGAACGAGAAATCTTCATAGTTGCTCTTAAATTCTTAGCTGTTAAAAGACTGTATATTTGAAAATATTTTTCATTAACAAATGTGTTCTTTTAAATTACCAGGCTTACAAATTGAAGTAGATAGTCAAAATAAACAAAAAACATAACACAAAAGTGTTTGTTTTAAGAATTATCAATTTTGTGTGATTAAAATATTTTATTTTTGAAAAAGCAATCCTTTCCAATTTCATCTTGGCCTCATAGTATTTGTTTCCATCTGCCATTAGTTTACCTATCATCAAGTACCCTATCAACGTTAGTGATGTGGAAGAAGCATGAGCTCTTTAACTGCTTTTGGGTGGTATATTTCTGTAGGTTGATTTGTAAGCCAAGTAATGAAAAAGACACTCTGAGAATTTGTCACAATGACATGGACATTAAAAAAGTTCTAACCAGCACATGTCTTCTTGTCAGTCAAGCGGATCTGCCCAAATGGACAGATGCACTCGAAACTGCCCCACAAGTTTCGGCATTTGAAGTTGCAAACAGGTGGGATTTGGTCACACTCATTAATATCTGGAAGTAAACAGCCAGCATGAATACATCAAGAAACATAAGCTGCTTATACCATTACAGTGTTCAGTCATGGTCATATTCATCTTTTGGTGTTTCAAAACTGGTTTAAGACTGTCATCAGATTTCTCCCCCAGAATCCAAATGGGAGCCTTCCTTACAATCCAAAAGGGGACCCTTGAGGATCCGGGGTAGAATAGGTCTTCAGCAACCCATTCTTGTCATAAAGGCAAATATGCTTTCGTAAAAGCGATTAATTGGGGGCCTGACTCACAGGCTCGCTGAGCTTGGTTGACACAAATCATCGGTTCCCAATTACAATCAAATCGATGCTCATGCTCCAAATGGGAGCCTTCCTTATTATCCAAATGGGAGCCTTCCTTACATATAGCTGGAATATTGCTGAGTGCCGGCATAAAACTCAACTCACTCACTCGCTCACTTCCTCACAATCCAAATGGGAGCCTGACTCACCCTCCAAATGGGAGTTTTCCACAATGACAACCAAACCATCGATCTGGGTCTTGGCTCAAGGAACATGGTGAACTCTCTGCTTTGACAAAATGTAAGTTTTCATTTCAGACACAGAACCTGAGGCTTGACGATATAGTGAACATTGGTCCTCATAACAGAGGGAGTCTGGTTTTTGACATAATAGGAGGGAGAGTGAATTTAGTTTTACGCCCCACTCAGAAATATTCCAGCTATATGACATGTAAGGATTGAAGGGGTTGATGCAAATCCCTTTAGTTCAAACATACATGAACATTTTGAGATACAGTTTCAACAATAATAATGACTATCAAATGACTATGCATTCATCTCACTTGTTGTATGTTCAAGTTCCCCTTTTACCTACAGTCATATATTGTATAGCCATCTTTGATGATTCCTGGATGTTCCTGCATTCACAGAACAGATTAAAATGTAGAACCACTAATATAACCAGCTGCTGATGCTCAAAATAAACGTGAGGACATAGATTTTGTCCTGATTGTCTGACCTACCTCCAGCCCCAAAATATAGGCCCTGATGTTACCACCTCTCCATGTTAAATATGCATTTATTCGTTGTGTCATAACGAGCACTTACAATTAATAATGCCCTAATGTATATCCCTACAACATGTATTGCAACTCTGTATGTAACTCTCTTGTATGAGGCCTAAAATACAATAACCTGATCGTCTTGTCTTGCCTATTATAGGTGAGTGAGTGAATATTGTATACACCGCTTTTAGCAATATTCCAGCAATATCATGGCAGGTGACACAAGAAATGGGCTCCACACATTGTAGTTAATCAAATCTGTGTCTTCCGCATGAGAAGTCATCGCTTTAACCACTAGGCTATCCCACCCTCAGCTGGTGAATAAATGACTAACTGACTGACTGACTGACTGAGTTTGAGTTTTAGATTTTGCTTTTAGCAATATTCCAGCAACATCATGGCGGGGAACACCAGAAATGGGTTTCACACATTTTACCCATGTGGAGATTCGAACCCGAGTCTTCGGCGTGACGAGCCTACGCTTTAACCACTAGTCTACCCCACCGCCCGAATAAACGACTAACAGAACAGGTGATTGAGGGTATTGTATTTGACCTTCAACGTCCTGAGGTTCCTTCAGCTCAACTGACTCTACCATACTAGTAGTTCCTTATAGTAGACAAATGAGTGAGTGAGTGAGTTTGGTTTTACTCCGCTTTTAGCAATATTCCAGCAATATCACAGCAGGGGACACCAGAAATGGGCTTCACACATTGTACCCATGTGGGGAATTGAACCCGGGTCCTCGGCGTGACGAGCGAACGCCTCAACCACTAGGCTACCACACTGCCCCTAAATTAGGGAGGATGTCATGGCTCACCAACATAAAATGATCATGGTGCACATTGTGAGGAGTGAGCATGGTCCAACACAGATTTGAACAGTATTTAGAACTGCAAGATGTGGGAGGACAGACATGTTAACCACTTTCATGACAAGCATGAGCACAGATAAACCAAGAAACATAAGTGGACTGAACCAATATTTTGACCAATGACCAGAGGCTTTTACAGCACCTCAGACTGACTGACTGACTGAGTTTGGTTTTACGCCGCTTTTAGCAATATTCCAGCAACATCACGGCGGGGAACACCAGAAATGGGCTTCATACAATGTACCCATGTGGGGATTCGAACCCGGGTCTTCGACGTGACGAGCCAACGCTTTAACCACTAGGCTACCCCACCGCCCTACAGCACCTCAGAGTGAGTGAGTGAGTTTAGTTTTACGCCGCTTTTAGCAATATTCCAGCAATATCTCGGCAGGGGACACCAGAAATGAGCTTCACACATAGTACCCATGTGGGGAATCGAACCCGGGTTTTCAGCGTGACGAGCGAACGCTTTAACCACCAGGCTACCCCACCGCCCCACAGCACCTCAGAAGATACAGACATTCAAGTATGGCATTCTGTTCAGGAAAGGACGTCATCAGAACTTCACACACAGCATGACCTTAAAACAAGGTACATGAAATCTGTTAAACATTACTGGCCAGAGGACTCTGATTTCTGGACAAAAATCCCAACCAATCCCACAAACGAACTGAGTGAGTGAAAAGTATAAAAGTAAAATGTATTGAGTTTTTGTTTAGGAGTCCATGAAAACACATCACAATCTACCAGTTTTTGACCTTCCAGAAGACTTCAGTTGTTTGTTGTCATGGTGACCTGCCAATGTCTGGCCACAGCAAACCAGTGACTGATATTTTAGGTGACATCCCATATCCTTGTGTTCAAACCCTTACACAGCAATAACATCTGATTGACACGTTCGTTTGTCCTATTTGAAGAAATAAATCAATACCATAAGAAAATATAACCCAAATAGTCTCATAAACTTGAAACATGCTCATTTCAGACAGGTTATTCTTGATAACTGACCAACATTCACACATTAACCATACACCTTCAATATTTCATCTATATTCTGATATCCTGCAACAGGCCTTGGACATATATGAACAGTGATATATGTTGTCAAAGTACAATGGCACAGGCCATTCAAACAGATATCATTCAAGCAAATATTAAAACAATTTCACTTTAATTTAAAAAAAGTAATGAATTAATTACAGGATGTCTTAAAAACTTGTGTTGAGGGCAAGGAAAAGATTGAAGCAGTGATCAAAATATTATTAAATGGCTGATTATTGAATAAAAAGTGATATATCCCCTATACCATGTAATGTCACATGAAATGGTTGAAACGGAACAGTCAGGGGACTAATGGCCTCTGTCTTCATCCTCTACACAAGCCTTGGGCTAGTTTCTGATATTAATTTCTGACACTGGCTATAATAAATTATTGTTTAAGATGTTTACTGAGAATAAAGGATATTTTTCATAGCCTGCAGCAGAAGACTGAAAAGCCCCATGAGAAGCTTCTAAAAGAATGACAATGGGAATCCATGCAAGGTGGACACTATCTGTTGCTTAAACATTCAATAGAGACACAGAGAAGGAAGAACTAGCAATGTAGTACAGGAAGCGGCTACCCACAATGCATCACTTACCTGTACAGGGCTGCCCTGGTCCCCTTGATGCGAGGCCTTGAGGACACGTGCACTTGTAGCTGCCAGCAGTGTTTATACACCTCTGGTTGTAGTAGCACCGATGACGACGGCTTGTACACTCATTAATGTCTGCACCAGTGAGTGAATCGGGGTTTAGATCTCATTTCATCAAAATTTCAACTTGAACAGGATAAATACTCATCACTTCTGAGTCCGGGAGGCTAACAAACATGTTTTAACTGAATACTAATGTGAAACGTGATTAAGGTGAGGTGAGGTGGAATTGGGTTTACTTCGTGCTTGAGAATATTTCGCTCATATGACGACATGCATGCGTGTGTATGTGTATGTGCGGCTGCTTGTACTAGCACAGACTTAAGCAGGTTTTATAGTGCTAGCTCACAGAGATACCATGCCGCAGTGAAGCATGAATACCCCACTCAGACACATTATACTGACTCTGAGCCGACCAGTCCTTGTTGTACCCATTAATACCGAGAGCCAGGCAGGGACCAACAAGTACCATATTTTAACGTCTTTTGGTATGACGCGGTCGGGGATCGAACCCGCGACCTTCCGCTTTCCGGGCGGACGCTCTAACCACTACACCACAGAGGCGGTCCGAATCATGATTAAGCTGTCATTTTGAGCGAGTTGGTGAGTTGGGCTTATTGCTGAAGTGAACAGTATTTCAATTATATCAGTGTTTCAGCTCAACATTAGACTAACGCTTAGTCCCTGAATATATATAATTTTGATAGTAACAAATAAACAATTTAAATTGAAAAGGAGCCCCAGGGAGACCAGAGATTCAGAACTTGGCGAAATCTAGGTTTGCTTCATTTAGGGCTTTATAATTAGCACTGCAGGGAGGGCTGGGCATTAGGGAAAATATTGTGGTTCAGGGACTGTGACACACACACGCTCAACATGTGATTCTCAGGAGTCTACCACTTTCAAGAAATGGTACTGACAATTCTAGTGGGTTGAACTGGGATTTGAACCCATGATCATATTTGATTTTGTTGTGCTTAGAAGAAACCACACTGCACCGTGATTTGTTGCACCTCTGGTAACTGGGCCATCAGAGCCATTTTCACTAACATTGGGTCTTACCATGGTTTCAAATATCTGCCATATATGTTAGCAACAGCCCCATACACACAGATCTTAGACATTTAGATGACAGACCAAGGATCATAATCAGAATAATTTGGGGCTATGAACCCATGACCAGTATAACTGACTGACTGACTGAGTTTGGTTTTACGCCGCTTTTAGCAATATTCCTCCAACATCACGTCGGGGGACACCAGAAATGGGCTTCACACATTGTGCCCATGTGGGGATTTGAACCCGGGTCTTCGGCGTGACGAGCCAACGCTTTAACCATTAGGCTACCCCACCGCCCATATGACCAGTATAAGTTAAGTATGGCAACGATGTGCTTGGGACACCTACCTATACGATGTGCTTGGGACACCTACCTATACGATGTGCTTGGGACACCTACCTATACGATGTGCTTGGGACACCTACCTATACGATGTGCTTGGGACACCTACCTATACGATGTGCTTGGGACACCTACCTATACGATGCGTTTGGGACACCTACCTATACGATGTGCTTGGGACACCTACCTATACGATGTGCCTGGGACACCTACCTATACGATGTGCTTGGGACACCTACCTATACGATGTGCTTGAGACACCTACTTATACGATGTGCTTGAAACACCTACCTATACGATGTGCTCGGAACACCTACCTATACGATGTGCTTGGGACACCTACCTATACGACTGACTGACCGAGTTTGGTTTTACGCCGCTTTTAGCAATATTCCAGCAACATCACGGCTGGGGACACCAGAAATGGGCTTCACACATTGTACCCATGTGGGGAATCGAACCCGGGTCTTCAGCGCCTACCTATACGATGTGCTTGGGACACCTACCTATACGATGTGCTTGGGACACCTTCCTATACGATGTGCTTGGGACACCTACCTATACACTGTCCACTTCTAATTCTCCTGAATCCATCCTCACAGATGTTGATGCACTCGTAACTTCCACGCGTGTTGACGCACTCCTGATGTCGTGGGCAGTTGTGAGTTCCCACAATGCACTCATTGATATCTACATTGAGGACAGAGAAAAACATAGTGACTCAGAAGCAAACATAATGTTATGTTTATAAACCTACGTTAAAGAATTAGTGAGCGAGTTTTGTTTCATGTCGCATTTAGCAATATTCCAGAAATATCACGGGCGGGGGGAACCAGAAATCGGCTTCACATATTGTGTACATGTGGGGAATCGAACCCAGTCTTCGGTGTGGCAAGTAAACACATTACAGAATTAAGCTGTCAGTGCTCTAAGATCACTGTGTGTAAACTGACCCCATACATATATCAAATAACTGGAAAGTGATACCGACTCCAGCTGACAACTTACCTCTACAGGCACCCTGTCGCCCTCCAACCAGTTTGTATCCATTCCGGCAAGCACATCTGTAGCCGCCATTAGTGTTGAGGCACTTCTGGGGGCATGGCGAGTTGGGCCGCTTGCATTCATCAACATCTGACACACAAAACACAAGCTGCTGACATGATGCATTGACAGTGTGTAAAATCAGAGTAGTCAGTATGTACACCCAAAGCTCAGGTGCGAGTATGGCTTTGCACCACTTTTAGCAATATTCCAACCAAATTCTAGAAATATTACAGCAGGGGACTCTAGAAATGGGCTTCACAATTTGTACCCACGTCGGGAATTGATCCTGGTCATCAGCATTATGAGCGAATGTTTTAACCACTAGGCTACCCTACCGTTCCATCAAACCTCACCAAGATCAGGGCCATGCATATATAAGCAATAAGTCCATAGTATTGTAGATATCTTGATATCTCACATTAATCAACTTTGAGATGACTTTGAAGTGACTGACTGATTGAGTTTGGTTTTACTCCGCTTTTAGCAATATTCCAGCAACATCATGGTGGGGGACACCAGAAATGGGCTTCACACATTGCACCCATGTGGGGATTCGAACCCAGTCTTCGGCGTAACGAGCCAATGCCTTAACCACTAGGCAACCCCACCGCCCCACTTTGAAGTGAAAACCTCTTTGGTTTTAGATTTAAATGGTATTAAAAGCACACATCAAATGATAGGTTAAAAGATAAAAAAGCTGCCCTGTTTATAGAAACGAAAGAACATATCATCTGATTGTTACAAGTCCTACAAGATTTATGACACTTGATGAGAGTATTCTTATAGAGTATAAATGTCCTATGTCTGCATAGAGTAGTAGTTATTGAGCTATCAAATCCTACCATGGAATAGGGGTTCATACTTTTGTATCTGTTCAGGCCCTTGAAAAGACACGAGAGAGTGGATGCCCTGCCCAACTGTCAAAATTTCAGAGAACAAGTTCACATTTTTTGGTTATCATGTGTTTTTGGAAGAAAACCAGTAGTTTGGGGCAATAACAGCCCCTCTTGGCTGACCTGGGCTCTGTTCCTTCATCAAGTGATGAACTGCCACAACTTACCCACACATCTTCCGTTAGGTGAGAGTGTGAAGCCTTGAGTACACGAGCACCCGGAAGCTTCCAACCAGGTTCTCACACACATGCTCACATGTGTCCGGCTGTTCCTTGCACTCATCAATGTCTACACACAGACACAACATAGGGAAGATATTTATATTCAGTTCAGTATATGTATATTCAGTTCATGATATTTACAAGATTTTCTTCTTCATAGTTAATGCCACACTCAGCGATATAAGATCATGGTCAGTAAAGAATTAAGTCTGCACTTGTCAATGTAGTGACTCACACCAACAATCCACACTGTAGGGATATGATATCAAAATCAAGTCAGGCTTGACAACCTGATCCATTTGGAAACCCCTCTTAACAAGCAAAGAATACTGGGCCCTTTACTCTTGCCAGAAACCTCAGTGGAACAAAGATAATGGTAAGGGACACATATTCTTACCCAAAATCTGCACAGGTAGAAACAGCAAGGATGGATGCACTACAAACCTTGGCACTCCAGGCCATTGAGAGCCCTCTTGTAGCCAGCAGAGCACTGGGCCAGACACTGGTACGACCCGATGGTGTTCACACACTTCTTGTTGATAGGACATCCATCAATGTTCTTCTGACACTCGTCAATGTCTACAGTACAACAGGGCAATTATTTCCTGGTTAGATAACAGGGTACTTGGCTAAAACTATTGCCATGAACAGTATGCCAAGTAAAACAAGCATTGTCACTTAGGTGACATAATCCCCCGCTGCAAATTATCAAATCAAACTTAAAAAGTAATGAAAGTTTAAGATGAAGTTAAATGTCAACAAAACATGACCAGTCAACCTCTCTTGATATCTTCTCTTTAGTTGTTCAAACACACACATATTTTCAAGACTGACTTTGACCTTGACATGAATGTCATAGTGTATGAAATATGCAAAAATGGTACTAAAGAAATTGATTATTGAAAAACATTCAAGGGAAGTCTTGAAATTACGGAAGCGTAGTAGGGCCACGGTGAAAAAATATTTGGGGTCAATATCTCCTACGTATGACTTAATATCTCCTACGTAGGAATTAGTATCTTCTACGTAGGACATACTATCACCTACGTAAGACATTATCTCCTACGTAGTACTTAATATCTCCTACGTAGGACTTAGTATCTCCTACGTAGGACTTAGTATCTCCTACGTAGGGCATAGTATCTCCTACGTAGGGCATACTATATCCTTTTTAAGGATGGTTATTAAAGTTGAGAAATGCTTGGCTATGCAGGAGGTTAGATAGTTGAAATGTGAGTCAGTGAATATTGATGACACTAACGCAGTGTTACTATACAGTGTTATTGTGTGTGTATTACATTAGGGTGACGTGGACCCTGTTCTAATTGCAGTTATGGAGGTTTGGGTATGGTTATGTTTAATGTATATAACTAAGTCAGTCAGTCAGTCAGTCAGTCAGTCAGTCAGACAGACAGACAGACAGACAGACAGACAGACAGACAGACAGACAGACAGACAGACAGACAGACAGACAGACACACACACGTGGGTGGGATGAGGTTGTGATATGAAACTCGGGTTATAACACGACCTCCGCAAGTTGTTGCTTGTCTCGAAGGGGCTAGGTTGGATCGGATGCAACGTTCGTTTGCGGCTTTTTTCGTAGTTGTTTACAGGTTGACTTGACTGGGGTGGACAAGTGTTGAGTGTGGCGTAAAACAATACGAAATTCAAAAGGCAAAGAATTGTCATTATATTTATTTGTATAAATATAAGGGGATACGTACACATAGACTGCCACCGATAGTCTGAGACACGTCTGTACACACAGATTATTATTCATGTGCAATGACCTCTGAAATTCCAACACATAATAGTAAAGTGTAACAAAGTGCAACATATAACAGTGAACTAACTGCAACCCGTAATAGTAAACTGAACACAAGGCAGAAAAGTATAACAGTTGGTCCAACACAGTAATGTGCAACAATTAGTTGAACACATGCCTCTAATAGTGAAGGAAACAGTAGACTCTAACAGTACATGAAACACATGATAGTAGACACTAACAGTAAATGAAACATAACTGTAGACTCGAATAGTGAATGAAACAGTGAAACAGGAGATGTGTGTGCGTGTCTGGGGATTTAAGTCGACCGTTTCAGATTAATCTATATAAACGTATATCGATCATCTCCTACAGGAAATATTAAGTACTACGTAGGAGATACTATGTCCTACGTAGGAGATACTAAGTTCTACGTAGGATACACTAAGTCCTACGTAGGAGATATTAAGTCCTACGTGGGACGTAGGAGATACTAAGTCCTACATAGGAGATAGTTAAGTTCCTACGTAGGAGATACTAAGTCCTATGTAGGAGATACTAAGTACTACGTAGGAGATATTAAGTACTACGTAGGAGATAGTAAGACCAAAAAGATTTTTCACCGTGGCCCTACTAGGCTTCCGTATGAAAATCTATGAAGAAAACCCAGTGAATTCATGTTAACATGCTGAAATCTTCAAAGTGTCGCAGTGACCTTGAAAATTATGTGAAGGTCACCAAAATGGACTGGGCCCTGCACCTTCATTAGATGAAGCATGGTGTCAAATATGGAAAAAATCCAGTGCATGTTTTTTGCGATATCTTGCTGACTATCTTAACATGCAATTTAACATGGTGAAATCTTCAAAGTGTCTTTTTTACCTGGAAAATTAAGTGAACGTCACCAAAATCGACTAGGCCTTGCACTTTCCCTAGATGAAGCTTGGTGTCAGATATGAAGAAAGTCTAGTGAATGGTTCTTGAGGTATCTCGCTGACCATCTTAACATGCAGGTTAACACACTGAAATCTTCAAAGTGTCACTGTGGCCTTGAAAATTAAGTGAAGGTCACCAAAATCAACTGGGCCCTGCGCCTTCCCTGAATAAAGCTTGGTGTCAAATATGAAGAAAATCCAGAGAATGGTTCTTGAGGTATCTCGCTGACAAGCATAACATGCAGGTTAACACACTGAAATCTTCAAAGTGTCGCCATGACCTTGAAAATTAAGTGAAGGTCACCAAAATCAACTGAGCCCTGCGCCTTCCTTAGATAAAGCTTGGTGTTGAATATGAAGAAAATCTAGAGATATCCTGCTGACAAGGGTAAAACGTTAAAGTCCCATTGTGACCTTGAAATTAAGGTCAAGGTCACCAAACCTGACTGGGACCTTTCTTATACCGGTGATGAACCTAGGTACCAAATATGAAAAGAATCTAGTCAACGGTTCTTAACATATTCCAATTTGTACGTACGGACGGAAGGCTCCTAATACAATAACTAACCCTTCACCTGTACAAGAATCTAGCACATGCCCTTTCCATCCAGAGGACTTACCATTCTTCCTCTACAAGATATTTGTAACACCCTTCACATCTGCAGGATATTTAACAATTCTTCACATTTAAACCACATTTATACATCCACTCAGGTCTACAAGGTATCTATAGCACACCCTCACCATCCAGAGGACTATTTTCAAACACTCCAATACAAAATACATACACCACTCACTCTACAGGATATTTATACCACCCCTCAGGTACAAGTGTTCCTTTATTTCCAGAATTTCACTGACAGTGCAATACGTATCTTTGTGAAGAAACCTGGACAAGATAAAGGAACACTTGTATTTTCATGTGTTCCCTTATTTATTTCCATGAGTATATCTTGAGGTCATTTATACCACCCCTCACCAATTTCAGAACATTTATACCACCCCGCACCTCTTCAGGACATCTACACCACCTCTCACCTCTTCAGGACATTTACAACACCCCTTACCTCTACATGATCGGCCATCAGACTCCAGGGTGAATCCTACAGGGCAGGAACAGGAGAAGCTACCAGGTGCATTGTGACAGAAGTGACTGCATGGCTTGAGGCGAGAACACTCATCATCATCTGAAAACAGCAGCACCCTTAACTTGTGCATGTAGCTGGAGGGGACACTAAATATATAACAAAGATTAAAATTTTAATCATGAACTTGTGTCTAATTAAGGTTTCTGAGCATTTTTTCATAAATACATTGATTTGTGGAAAGAGATTCCCATTATTACCTCGGCAGAAAGATCCCTCCTCATCGTGGAAGAAACCCCGGGGGCATCGGTTACTTGGGTTACCTGAAGCAAAATTAATTTTAATTAACACTGAAGCTATATACATCTGAAAAATATTTAATCTCATTCAGCTACACCTGCATTAAAATGGCTCTCTGAAAATTAACAGCAAGTGGTGTTTTTCCCAGATGTGCAGTATATGTAAGAAATAAATATTAATCAGCTAAAGGAAAGATTATAAAAATTTGTCCTGATATAGTTTGTTTGTTTGTTGTTTAACGCCACACTCAGCAATATTCCAGCTATATAGAGTCAGTCTGTAAAATATAGTCTGAACCAGACTATCCAGTGATCAATAGCAAGAGCATTCATCTATGCTACTGGACCAGACAACCCAGTGATCGACATAATGAACATCGATCTACGCAGCTGGTATATGATGACATGTGCCAACCAAGTCAGCGAGCCTGACCACCTGATCCTCTTAGTCGCCTCTTATGACAAGCATAGATTACTGAAGACCAATTCCAACCCTGATCTTCATGGGTTTGTCCTGATGTTCACTAATATATGAAAAGGTTTATTTATGTATAGGACTCGATCATGAGTTCACCTTGTGCAGTGCTGGCACAAGGCTGAAACATTAGCTCACCTGGTACAAGGCTGGCACAGAGATGGATTATTAGCTCACCTGGTGCAGGGCTGGCACAGAGATGGACTATTAGCTCACCTGGTGCAGGGCTGGCACAGAGATGGATTATTAGCTCACCTGGTGCAGGTCTGTCACAAAGCTGGACTATTAGCTCACCTGGTGCAGGGCTGGCACAGAGATGGACTATTAGCTCACCTGGTGCAGGGCTGGCACAGAGGTGAAACCTTAGCTCACCTGGTTCAAAGCTTGGATAAAACTGGAACATTAGCTCACCTGGTGCATTCAATACTGACATGAGATGGACCATTAGCTCACCCTGTGCAATGCTGGGATAAAGCTGAAGTGTAAGCTCACCTTGTGAATTCAATGCTGACATGCGAGAGAACAGTAGCTCATCTCATCAATGCTGATGTACAACAACTCACCTAATGCCACCCTGCCATTCAACTAGAATAATAGCTCACCTGGTGCAATGCTAGCATACAGCTGGAAGCGCACATCCTCCTCCCCGGGTTCAACATTGACCTCCATGCCCTCAGCGTAGAGCTGCTGCACCAAGAATGGCATCTTGCCCAGTGAAGGATCATATGTGATGGTGTGGTTCCATGCATAGGGCATCCTGTTTCCATTAACTCGGAACAGTCGTGAGGAGTAGGCATAGATTTCACCTGAAAGTGTGTTGTGTTTGTCATAATATATTATTAATAAGTAGAGGTGTGACGATACAGAAATTTCACGATATGATATGTATCGCGATATCTTGAAACGATACGGTTCGATTTGATGCATATAACGATATGCTTTCTTTAGTTATTTTCTTTAAAAAAATATATGTTAAAGCAAGAAATTTTGACATAACCGTCAATATCTAATGAAAATTAACAATTTTAAGGTCAACGATACATATCACGATACGAAAAAACGTATCGATATATTTATCGTTAGATAAAGTATCACGATTATCGATACCACGATATATCGTCACAGCTCTATTAATAAGGCATAATATATTTTAAGATAACATCTGGTTTACTTGTCTACCTTTCCTGACTTTAACCTGCTGAATTAATTTCAGCATAAGCCACTGTAAACAAGGTGATTTCAAACAGGGGCGTCATTAACAAGGAACAACTAAACCAACATTTTGCACATTAATATCAGATATAAAAATAAAGATTATTATCCATATATATACTAATATTTTCAAACATACAAAGGTTAAGGCTAAAGCAAACAAACTTTTCTTGAATTTACTTGAAATGCTTGATTGACATTAGAATGCGTTTCACATTAGAACCCTGTATAAATTAGAGCTAACCAATGTCATTCTTATCTCCGATGTCTCATACTTAACTCATACTTCCTTCCTACAGACCTCCTTATACACCCTTATCTCACCTGGTCCGGTCTGCACATACTGTTCCGTGTAGGGGTGGATGTACACATTCCTGATCTGGCCAAGGTCGGGTACATGTCCACTGACCACGATGTCAAACTTGAGCTTCCCCTTGTCATCCACACCAGTGGCGTAGTGGGTCATCCTTAAGACTTCCCCTAAACGTTAAAGTCCCATTTTACTGACTGTTCACAACACTAAGGTTACTGTACTTCATACACTGACACAAATTACCCTACGGTCATTTTGTGAAACAGGAATGAAACACTTCCCACAGAGTCCCCAAACATAACATGGACAAATTAGATGCTTGATTGGCATTTTAGAAGATGATATTTGATGAACATAGAGATTTTTTCTGGGTTACATCTTCTTTTTATTCTCGAGTACAACGTTTCAGGGCTTGTTCTGGCCCCATCATCAGTTTTACCTGATGATGGGGCCAGAACTAAAAAACCTAACGAGAATAAAAAAGAAGACGTAACCCAGAAAAAATCTCTATGTATAACATGGACAGCTATTAATCAACATCACTGTGACAGTACATGTGATATAAAGCCGGGTCCAGCCTCAACTAAAATATAAAATAACATTTTTCTCAATCACACACTGATACATAAATAAATTGCAAAAAAAGATAGAAAATAAAGTAATATGCAATTTGATTTTATTATGATTTATGGAACATCTAATAATCAGTACAGTTAAACTACCGGTACCTTTTAGGCATTAGAGAATAATGTAAATGAAGCTATGGACACATTTAACTTTGTGACACATGCAGTGAAGGCAATTACAGACCTGTTGCAAACTCGACCTGCACCTTCCTGTTGAAGACGCCCTTCGTTAGAGTATAACCATTGTAAGCTCCATCCACCTCCATGGCTGTCGTCCAGTACACAGGGGTGAGCAGAGAGATCAGGTGCTGTAGATGAGGAGCTGAAGAGAGACAACTATTGAGTATGGGGCTGAAGGAAGACAACTCTAGTGAGCATGGGGGTGAAGGGAGACAACTCTAGTGAGTATGGGCTGAAGGGAGACAACTCTAGTTTGTGGGAGATAACTATGGTAAGAGCAAAGAGCAAGTGACCTTTCTAACATGAGTGGTAAAGTTGCCAACACCTTGTGAAGAATCTTGAGGTTTGCCCTCTTACCCTAAAAGTATGTCTTTGGGAATTGTTAACCTGGAAATGGTTCATGACTACTGAATTTAAATTACTTGCTTTTAACAAATTAGACTGGTTAGAAACTGCAGATTGAATGAAAAGCACCCAACCTCCTAAATATTTCAGCAGGGGTGAAGATTATTCAGCTTTACTACTATCATCATTTGTTTGTCAACACAATGATCATTTGCAGGTATAACTCCACACAGTGTTGTTGTGGTAGCCTATCACACCGGCAAACCTAGAATGATGGCAGCAATGGAACAGGGACCTCAGCTGTGTGGAGCTTGCGAGTGGAAATACGAGTTTGGTTTAACGCTGCTGTGGACAATATTCCAGTTATACCATGGCATGTCAGCCTGATTTGGGAGGAAAGCCTGATGTGCTGCAGGTCTTAGATGTTACCACGCTGGTGGAACCCACATAGTAGTATTAAACAACCCAGCTCGACAGCGTGCTTGCCCTTGCAGTTGACCAATACAACTTCCCTCACAACCTATTGTATTTGTTCCCAGATTCTACAGAAAATCAATAGCTTTTGGAAACTATTTTGATCAAGGTACGATCATCACATCTCCTGAACAGCTGATCAGATACGTAATTAGCTGGAACCGTTGCTGCTTCGAACTCGTTTCGGATAAATCTTTATTACACATGTTTCACAAATGCTACTCCAAGCTTGTCTGGACTAAAAACATCCTGTCTGCATTTGAGACCAATCCTCATGATTGGATCAGTTTCCGTGGAAGCTTTTTGACCTGTTCTGTATGGAGTGTTATATTGAATTTCGGGATACACCATTGCAGATTTAAGGTGAATTGTCACTTGGATATTAGAAATTGTGAAATGTTATATATGAAAAATGATGATTGGGTTGTCCCAATGGTTTTTGGTTTGAGTGAGAATGCAAGATAACTGAATCATTTGGATAAGAAGTAGACATAAGATGACAACGGACTGTAATCAGAGAATGTAACTTATTCAAGGTGATTTCACTGTCAAATTGAAAAAACAAGGATGCAACACTTTCCAGCATCAAATTCTCCCTCCATAGTTTGGATGTCTACAATGATAACACATTAACTTGGTGCGCCTAGTGGCTGCACGAGTTGTATAATCCCCAGGGAGTTGAGATTGACATCCAATGATCGAGGGAAAAAAGACCATAATATGTGCCATGCATTCAAGTTCTTTCAATTTGATTCATGAAAGGTTTTACATCTGAAACATTTTAAACACATAGAGTAAAAACTTTCATCCAAATGGGTAGCCAAAGGGTTAAAGCATTTGAGCGAGTTTAGTTATGGCTATATGGCGGCAGTCTGTAAATAATCGAGTCTGGACCAGGCAATCCAGTGATGAACAGCATCAGCATCGATAGCAATTGGGATATGATGACATGTGTCAACCAAGTCCGTGAGCCTGACCACCCGATTACGTTAGTCGCTTCTCATTGGTTACTGAAGATCAATTCTATCACAGGTCTTCTTTGGTCTGTTGATTTGTTGAGTGGTGAACACTACACCAGTAACATCCCAGTGGGGACACCAGGCCTCGATTTCTCGAAACAAACTTTTTACTCAAATATCAAACTGAGTTTGACAATTTGAAACAGCTGAATTTTTAACAAGACTGCATTTTTAAATTAAAAAATCCCAAACAACTGAAGTTATCTATCCACCAAACTCAAATTGTCTACTAAGTTTGAGTTTAATATTGATTTCAGTTTATTCTGGGAAATGCATTTTCTTGTGTTTTCTCAAATTTGAGTAAAAACTCTGAATTAAGTCAAAACTCAGACATAAGTTTGTTTCGAGAAATCGGGGCCTGAACCTTTGTTGCATGACCAGCAAACACATATGGGGCTAATCCCTCGTAATGACTTGTTGAAGTGAATTGAGGTTAGACAATGCATGAGGTAGTAAGGATTTACTGCCACTTCATGCAACTTTCAAACAGCTCCTGTAGACATGCAACAGTAAAATGACCCTATCACAAGTTTAAAACCTGTGAGGTTAGTTTCAAGGTACAAGGTATATGGCTTTAAGCATTTAAAAAGTAAAGAAATAAACATGAAGAAGTATCATTAAAAACCTTGAAAAAATGTGTATTACAAAAGTTTAAGTGGAATTTATAACTGGTCCCAAACATTCACTGACCAAGCTGACCAATTAAAACCAACCAGCCAACCAACCAGCTCCTGAAGGACAAATTATGTAGCAGTATTCTGGGGTAGAATTAAGTCATAAGACCAATACAAGACAGCTGCAGTGGTGGCTATACTCACTTGACATTAGTCACCAGGGAAACTGTATAATCTACCAATCAATTATTACACCAGAAGTTCAGTATTCTGTGAAACATCTGTCTGTTCATTTGATAATGAGTGAGTGAGTTTGGTTTTACATCGCTTTAGCAATATTCCAACACTATCATCGCAGGGGACACCAGAAATGGGCTTCACACATTGTACTCATGTGGGAATTGAACCTGGGTTTTCAGCGTGATGAGTGAATGCTTTAACCACTAGGCTACCCCACAGCCCTCATTTGATAAAGCTTACCGACAGCTCTGGGAACATTCCTGATAGTTGCCCTAATCCTGATGCCCGAGTCAGTTGGTGTCATCTCAGATACAATAGTGGACTCAACGATGTCAATGTTGTTGATGTTGCCGACGAGGTTGCCCTCAGCAGTTCTTGGGGAGGCTGCAATAAACAATTGCTCTTTACAAATTAATTGTCCAAGGAAATGTTATATTCCTCCATAACACGTAAATATAGCTGTAAGATTATACACATTTGTGAGTGATAGATGTTTCATCCTTTTATGTGATCAATGAATAAATAATATACCCTCTTTATATATTTCCTCTTTTTTGCAATAAAAAATATAGAAGAGAATATATTTATATTGTATAACTGAATTCAATTCAATTTACTCTTACAGTTTCAAGTTTATTTCTTCAAACTTTCAGGAAAAGAAGACAACGTTCACAGACTAAGATGCATAACATCACAACTATAGCCTGTTTGTAGTGAAAATGTACTGACGAATTTCACTGTAAATAAAAAAGTAAATCAAATAAAGTGAAATTAAGATAGCGAATCCTCATACTTTTACTTTGCCAATTGAACTTTTAAATCTCAGAATTTTATTCAACTTAGGATAAAAGTTGTTTAACAAACAATCATAGTTTCAAATCGCTATTATTGGTTTGTATTACAAAGGGGTAAGTGCAGTAGTTGGAACAGTGAAACAAATGCACCTGCGGTTCATGATGAGCGTTAACTTAGACTACCGTAGAAACAAACCCTTCTTGTTCTTGGGGTTTCATTTAATGTGCATACCCCCTGTGATACAAACCAATAATAGCGATTTGAAACTATAATCGTTTGTTAAACAACTTTTATCCTAAGTTGAATAAAATTCTGAGATTTTAATTGTTCAGTTGGCAAGGTAAAGTTATGAGGATTTGCAATCTTAATTTCACTTTATTTGATTTACTTTTTTGTTTAAAGTGAAATTCATTGGTACGTTTTCACTGCAAACAGACTATAATCTCCACCCTCCATCCAAATAGCCCTACACCTGTCCCTCAAAATATTGCTCCACCCCAAATAAATTGACTCCACATCCCGCATGCAGTCAGTACTTGATGGCCACATATTACGATGACGTATGCTCACATTCCATGAATGAGAATCCTCACTGTCACACACCGAGGTGATGCCCCCTACCTCCCCCTACCTCACACCCTGATGCCCCACCCTACCTCCCCTCAGCCTTAATGACGGAGTCAGTCCTCACTGTCACACCAAGGTGATGCCCCGACAGTCCTCCCTACCTCCCCTACCCTACTTCTACCTGCTTAATGACTGAGTCAGTCCTCACTGTCACACCGAGGTGATGCCCCCACACCCTACCTCCCCTACGCCTTAATGACGGAGTGAGTCCTCACTGTCACACACCGAGGTGATGTCCCAACACCCTACCTCCCCTACGCCTTAATGACGGAGTGAGTCCTCACTGTCACACCAAGGTGATGCCCCGACACCCTACCTCCCCTATGCCTTAATGACGGAGTCAGTCCTCACTGTCACACACCAAGGTGATGCCCCAACACCCTACCTCCCCTACGCCTTAATGACGGAGTGAGTCCTCACTGTCACACCGAGGTGATGCCCCGACACCCTACAACCCCTATGCCTTAATGACGGAGTCAGTCCTCACTGTCACACCAAGGTAATGGCCCGACACCCTACCTCCCCTATGCCTTAATGACGGAGTCAGTCCTCACTGTCACACCAAGGTGATGGCCCAACACCCTACCTCCCCTACGCCTTAATGACGGAGTGAGTCCTCACTGTCACACATAGGTGATGCCCCGACACCCTACCTCCCCTACGCCTTAATGACGGAGTGAGTCCTCACTGTCACACCAAGGTGATGGCCCAACACCCTACCTCCCCTACGCCTTAATGACGGAGTCAGTCCTCACTGTCACACCAAGGTGATGCCCCGACACCCTACCTCCCCTCGCCTTAATGGCCGTGGTGAGTCCTCACTTCAACCGAGGTGACGGAGTGAGTCCTCACTGTCACACCGAGGTGATGCCCCGACACCCTACCTCCCCTACGCCTTAATGACGGAGTGAGTCCTCACTGTCACACCAAGGTGATGCCCCGACACCCTACCTTCCTACGCCTTAATGACGGAGTGAGTCCTCACTGTCACACCGAGGTGATGCCCCGACACCCAACCCTCACCAAATGTAATGGAGTACTTACTGTCACATGCTGTGATGATGCACTCGCCCACCTGGACGCCGTTGCCGCCGTTGCCCAGACACGGTCGCCCACCATGCTGTGGCTGTACACACTGTCGCCGCCTCTCACGTGTCCCGTAGTCACATGTCTTGGAACATGCTCCCCACTCTGCCCATAAATCCCAGTTGCCATCAACTAAAGGAAAGCAGTGAGGCGAAGGATGAGGACTTGTTCACAAAACAAGTTTGGACACAATTAAGTGATAATCCTGCTTTAACCAATATAAAAACATACAGAAACTATACAAAACTATATACATAAGTGATAATTTACAGTAACCTTGTACTCCAACCAAATCAAAGGCTTTCCACAGGCTTACTGATGGTACATACAATGCCAACAATGTAGACATTTCTTCTTTATCATTCCCAAGGCATAAAACCAAGATTTATTAGTCAAAATATAACCTAATTGTTCCACTACATCAATCCAGTATACTGTTGGATTAGAGTCAAGATTTAACAGACCCAATTCAACATGGTTTCAGTCATGAGTTGATATCCCTACATTACGGGTAAAATCCTATGGACCACTTGCACAAAGTTATCTTTCCGCTACGCCATCTTAAGTCATAGCACTAAGATCGCTTTGTGCAAGCAAGCAAGCCGTGGTTGTGATTCCCTGGTTTACTGCATGGTCTATATAAGTTATAACAGTGATTTTATACCATGGGCTTCTATCTGATTATTACACCCAGAGACGTAGACCATTGGTTTATTCCATTTATACAACGGTGTTATACACTGACCAGGACAGTATAGCTGGTTGCACTCCGTGACCTCTTCGCCTTGTCCTGTGCATGGTCTTCCACCCTTGGCAGGGATAGGGTTGGTGCAGGTGCGGAACCTCTTCATCTGTCCTCCTCCACAACTCCGACTACATTCACCCCAGGTGCTCCATAGTGCCCAGTTACCATGCACTGCAACAACAATCACACCATCATTACATCAACAACCAAACCATCACTACCACAGCAATGACAACACATCTTTACAGTGTAGCTCTCCTGGTTGCTGTAGCTCAGTTGGACTGTTTATCTCCCCTTGACAGTGAATCTTACCTCGATAGTGTGTCTCACCTGGACAGTATAACTTACCTGGGACAAGTTCCACAAAACGATCGTAGTGCTAAGATGATTTTAACTCCCACACTTCTTCAGGTAACCTTTACTAAGGTTAACCTTAACTCCCATTCTTTAACATCGCACTAAGGTTACCTTAGTGACTTACGATCACCTAAGTGCTTTGTGAAAGGAGGCCCTGGACAATTAAGCTGTAGAAAAAATGGTTGACCACTGGTTAAAGGATTTTAATTTTTTTATTGCTTCAATGAAATGTTTCAGTACATGTGCTTGATCTAAGTGTTGCTATGTGTACCAAATCACACCACAAGATTACTCTAGTGAGTGAGTGAGTTTAGTTTTACGCCGCACCCAGCAATATTCCAGCTATATGGCGGTGGTGGTCTGTAAATAATCGAGTCTGGACCAGACAATCCAGTGATCAACAGCATGAGCATCGATTTGCGCAACTAGGAACCAATGACATGTGTCAACCAAGTCAGTGAGTCTGACCACCTGATCCTGTTAGTAGCCTCTTACGACAAGCATAGTCGCCTTTTGTGGCAAGCATGGGTTGCTGAAGACCTATTCTACCTTGGGTCTGGTCAATTATAACTTACCTGGACAGTGTTCACTGTTGCAGTAGTCCACTTGCTGTTCTGGGCCGACACAGTCAGCACCACCATACTGAGAGCGAGGATTATCACAGCGACGGACCCGTGTCCTTGACCCGCCCCCACAGGACACACTACATGATGTCCAGTCCATCCACTGGCCCCAGTTGCCATCAACTGAAGAGAAATGAATTTGTAAACATTTTGTGCCTCAATAGGGACCCTCAAGTTTTCAACTACCAGTGCCTAGCTCAGTACAGCGCTTTTGAGTGGTTCTACCAGATCCTATCGCTCTACAAATATTTTTATAGATACATACATAGAAGACTCTTGCTTCTGAGAAGAAACTGGAAGGATCAATTTCAGTAGGTGAGTTTAGTTTTACGCCGCTTTTAGCAATGTTCCAGCAATATCACGGTGGGAAACACCAGAAATGGGCTTCACACATTGTACCCATGTGGGGAATTGAACCCGGGTCTTCGGCATGATGAGCGAGTGTTTTAACCATTTGGCTACCCCACCGCCCCCATTTGCAGCAGGATTATTTTAAGTCACTATGCACTGCGGTCAGTGTCAAGTTTCTATGTCAGGTGAACCAGTAATAGCATTGCAACAGCAATGGTCTACATCTCCTTTATGTGAGAGGTGTACTCAATATTGAGAAAATAGGTGCACACAATGCACATTTATTATAATGGACAAAACACAATAGGTGTCACCCTAGAACCCTCCGACACATGGTCATGAGATGGCATGCAGTCACAACCTGTGACCACCTCAGCCATGAGATGTCTCTTGCAAAATGTCGGGGTTTCTTGGGATGTGTTCTGACATGGATTCCGGATGGAGTGAGCTGATCAGAGTATACTCCCTACTTCCTTCATGCATGTAGTGTGTATGTCTTGATTTACATGACTTCATTCATAAAAAGTATCTCATCATTTTCATATAAATTTCTAACGATGTTAAATCTGGTCATGGCAACCTGTGTTGAGCATAAGCAGTGAACTATGCTGTCTGGGCACACTGAGACATCATTAGGACACAGTGGCACACTATTGGGCACAATGACACACTATTAGGGCACAAGAGCACACTATTAGGGCAGAATTACACAATAATAGGGCACAATGAAAAAATATCAGGCATAATGACACAATATTAGGGCACAATGACACTATTAGAGTACAATGACACACTATTAGGGCACACAGAAACATCATCAAGACATACTGATGTGTCATCAGAGACACACCTTAAAGGCACACACTGATCTGCAATCAGGGCACAGACACCTAAGGGCACTTAAGGGCACTGACTGATCTGCAATCAGGCACACAGACACCTTAAGGGCACACACTGATCTGCAATCAGGCATACAGACACCTTCAGGGCACACACTGATCTGCAATCAGGGCACACAGACACCTTAAGGGCACACACTGATCTGCAATCAGGGCACACAGACACCTTAAGGGCACACACTGATCTGCAATCAGGGCACACAGACACCTGAAGGGAACACACTGATCTGCAATCTGGCACACAGACACCTTAAGGGCACACACTGATCTGCAATCAGGCACACAGACACCTTAAGGGCACACACTGATCTGCAATCAGGGTGCACAGACACCTTAAAGGCACACACTGATCTGCAATCAGGGCACACACTGACCTGCAATCTGGCACACAGACACCTTAAGGGCACACACTGATCTGCAATCAGGCACACAGACACCTTAAGGGCACACACTGATCTGCAATCTGGGTGCACAGACACCTTAAGGGCACACACTGATCTCCAATCTGGGTTCACAGAGACACCTTAAGGGCACACACTGATCTGCAATCAGGGTGCACAGACACCTTAAGGGCACACACTGACCTGCAATGTGGGTGCACAGACACCTCAAGGGCACACACTGACCTGCAATCTGGGTGCACAGACACCTCAAGGGCACACACTGATCTACAATCAGGGTTCACAGACACCTTAAGGGCACACACTGATCTGCAATCAGGGTGCACAGACACCTTAAGGGCACACACTGATCTGCAATCAGGGTGCACAGACACCTTAATGGGAACACACTGATCTGCAATCAGGGCGAAAAGACACCATTAGTGCAAACACTCATCATCAGTCAGGCCAACGTAACAGCTTGCTTTTAAGTCACAAGAAAATGTACTGGTGTACTTTCCAAACATGCAAATATATTCTGATCCCAACAGAACACACAGGCTGGCCAAAGTATCCTTTAGAGCCTTCCTATCAGATCCCTCCTTACATAACTGCATGTCCAGTCATACCTGCACAAGCCTGTGTGTGGCACGCCTGTGTGTCGATTCCTGCTCCACGGCATGGAAGTCCCCCGAACTGAGGCCGTGGGTTGTTGCACTTCCGCTCTCGGGACTGCTGCCCCTCCCCACAGGTGGTGGTGCAAGGACTCCATGGATCCCAGTCGCCCCAGCTTCCGTCAACTGAATCATGCGAATAGAACATTTACAATTTGGGAATTACCACATGACCTTGTCCAACCACCTTTATATCAGACATCGCATCAGCTAATGTAACAAATGAAATTTTGAGTGACTGAAAGAATGAGCAAGTTAACATTGGTGAGGTGAGGTGAGGTGAAATTGGATTTAACGTCGTGCTTGAGAATATTTCGCTCATATGATGACGTGCATGCGTGTGTATGTGTATGTGCGGCTGCTTGTACTAGCCCAGACTTAAGCTGGTTTTATAGTGCTAGCCCACTGAGATACTATGCCGCAGTGAAGCATGAATACACCACTCAGACACATTATACTGACTCCAAGCCGACCAGTCCTTGTTGTACTCATAAATGCCGAGCGTCAGGCAGGGACCAACAAGTACCATATTTTAACGTCTTTTGGTATGACGCAGTCGGGAATCGAACCCGCAACCTTCCGCTCTAACCACTACACCACAGAGGCGGGCAGTTAACATTGGTACTATTCAAGGCACAGAGTGATGAAAACAAGTTATGGATATAATATTTCACAGTTATATTACATCTCGTTCTTTCTAATTAAAGGAAAAATGTGTCCTGAATCACCACTTGTTACTTAGGATATATTTTCTTACAAAATTCCACCGGAAGAAAGCAATTGCACTGAGGACCTATTATGGCCCAGAAATCTCACAAGCAGACAAACAGATTCAACAAGGCACCTATTCTGCCCAAGTGAGTGAGTGAGTATGGTTTAACGCTGCTTTTAGCAATATTCCAGCAATATCACACGTTGTACCCATGTGGAGAATCGAACCCAGGTCTTGGCATGATGAGTCAACACTTTAACCACTAGACTAGAATCCAAGAATCTCCACAAGGAGACAAGCATATGTTACTGGGAGCTGTTCTGGTGCAGAGTCCGCACAGGAAGACAAACATGGATACTGGAGACAAGTTCTTCCCAAGAATCTCCAGAGACAGAAAGGCACTGGATACTGGGTATCTACTCTAGTCCAAGCATCGCTACACTTTGAGAAGCTTTGACCATTGAGGACCTATACTGATCTACTGTAACCCTTCTTCACACATATTTTCACATCATACTGCAGCATGGAGCATGGCTCAGGTCACTCACAGATGCCAACCCCAAAGTGTTGCAAATAGTAGTTTCAAGGATCAAAATTAGTAGTTTGACCATAAAATTAGTAGTCAACTAAATACTTACAATCATGATGGATTCTGAGAAAGATAATATGACACTTATCAAGAGTGAAGCTTCAGTGAGTGAGTTTAGTTTTATGCCGCACTAGGCAACATTACAGCTATGTGGTGGCGGTCTGTAAATAATCGAGTCTGGACCAGACAATCCAGTGATCAACAGCGTGAGCATCGATCTACACAATTGGGATATGATGACATGTGTAGTGAAGCTTTAATTTCACATACCTCCAACAGCAGATTTCCAAATTATCAGCTTTACAATTCTTCTTGTTTTTGGCGAAAATGTATTTAACCAACAAAAATATATGTTTTTGTCTATATATCCATATTTTAATGAATTTTCTTCAAATTTCATAGAATTTCCAGTGCAGTTGTACTCTCATAGTTCGAGCCTAAAATTAGCAGTGACTATGATAAAATCGTAGAGGTTGGTATCTCTGGGTCACAGAGAACTTACTTGGACAGGATCTGACATTGCAAGGTGACTGGTCCACTCCAGCTCCCTCGCAGGAGAGTCCCCCGAACTGCGGTGGGGGGTTATCACAAAGACGAGTACGGGTCCGCTGACCGGGTCCACACGAACTGCTGCACACCTTCCATGCGCCCCAGTTTCCCCAACTGGCATCAACTGCAATACACATTCTTGATGAATTCAAAATGTGTTTATATAAACTTTTCTGTCATGTGTATCCTGATTTTCAAGAGCTGTCAGACTCAAACAACATAGTAATAAATCTTTGTCTTATTCAACCATGTATCATGAAATGAGTGAGTATGGTTTTACGATGCTTTTAGCAATATTCCAGCAATATCACGACAGGGGTCACCAGAAATGGGCTTCACACATTGTACCAGTGTTTGCCCTTAACCCTGAAAAGCTGCAGGCCCTAAGGACACAGAACCATAAAAAGTTGCGGGTCCTGATCAGAATGTGTAGGCCCTATATTTTAATATTGAAATAATACTCTTAGTTACTGGGGATGAAAAAGCTGTCGGCCATAAGGACCTGCAAAAAAACAAAAGTTGTGGATCCAAGTGGTTTTTCAGTCGGCTTTGGGCCTAAGGACCGATGTTAATTTTGAACGCTGCATTGTACCCATGTGAGGAATCAAACCTGGGTCTTCAGCATGACATGCGGACACTTTAACCGCTAGGCTACCCCACCGTCCTGTATCATGAAATGAACTGTACCTATCATTCTGAGTTTTCATATCACAAGCAAATCAAGTTAAACATGAAAATTACAAGTCTTGAATCTACAGATTCCACAGCTAAACCCAAACCAATAAAAACAGATTCAGTTTTACATTGTTTCTGTATCAACTGACTACAGCCATCTTAAAGGCATCTGAATGAATATAGTTCTCATCCAAAACAGACCATGTTTCTCCAGACAGCAACTATTGTTTGATTTGTCTAATTCTACCAGCAATATACAACAGTCACAGAGATGACAGCCCCAAAGTGTTGCAAATATGATAGTTTCAAGGATAAAAAAATAGTAGTTTGACCACAAAATTAGTAGTCAACTAAATACTTAAAATCATGATGGATTCTGAGAAAGATAATATGACACTAATCAAGAGTGAAGCTTTAATTTTACATACCCCCAACAGCAGATTTCCAAATTATCAGCATTACATTTTTTCTTCTTGTTTCTTTTGGCAAAAATGTATTTATCGATGAAACTGGATGTTCTTGTCTATATATCTGAACTGTTATGAATTTTCTTCAAAATTCATAGAATTTCTAGTGCAATTCATTCTCTTCCCACAGAGATTACTCCTGTCATATCTTCCTACGTAACCTCTGTTCTAATACGGCCCTTTCATGGTGTGAGCGTTCAAGACTCGTGATTGGAGGCAATCAGATTTAGTTGTGCAATCAGCGACGTTGTTTCAAAAGTGATCATTCGCAAGGCCTTGGTAATTTCCGTATGCTTCGAGAAAACTAAACTTCTTCCCAAGCGTGATGCACAAACGTTTCTTCTAGACAGAACTCAGTCATGTTATGGCGGATCAGTGGCGTCTCCATCGCCCTCGTTGACAACGGACAAGCTAGCCATTAAACGTCTTGTGTGCAACATCAACACAAGTCCCTGGCAGAGGAGGGATATTTGTGGCCCCACATTTGCTTGTGTTAGTCAAGTTGAATCTAAGTCGATGTAACACGTGTTCTGATTGGATAGAAAGAAGGGAGATAATTCGTTTTGCGATCTTTTGCCGCTAGGGGATTTTACGAGAACCGGGAAATATGGCCGTATTAGAACAGAGGTTCATAGGAAGATATGACAAGTAACCTCTGTGGGAAGAGAATGAGTGCAATTGTATTGATGTAGTTTGAGGCTAAAATTCATAGCAATAAAATCGTAAGGGTTGGCATCTCTGCAGTCAGATGGTCTGTTGATGGTTGTCTAATGTTGTTGAGTCTCACACACACTCAGTAATATCACCATGTATTATGTTCTATATGTAGTGTGTGAGCATAATGAGTGAGTGAGTGAGTTTAGTTTTACACCGCACTCAGCAATATTCCAGCTATATGGCGGCGGTCTGTAAATAATCGAGTCTGGACCAGACAATCCAGTGATCAACAGCATGAGCATCGATCTGCGCAATTGGGAACCGATGACATGTGTCAACCAAGTCAGCGAGCCTGACCACGCGATCCCGTTAGTCGCCTTTTACGACAAGCATAGTCGCCTTTTATGACAAGAATGGGTTGCTGAAGACCTATTCTACCCCGGATCTTCACGGGTCATGAGCATAATGAAGGAGGAAAGCTTGAAGAGGTAAATATAGGGTGATGCCAAATAAAGGACCATAATCATGATAAAATGGATCCGAATCACAAACACAAGATTCTGGCAATGAATTGTGAATTTCAAATGTTGTTTGTTAATACACAACTCAGCCAAACATTCCATTCTCTGTCTTATCTGTTCCTACCTGGACATTCTCCCATTATACAGGACTTGCTTTCCCGCGCAGCTCCGATACACTGGTGGCCACCATTGGTTGGAGGAGGGTTGTCACATGACCTGGTGCGGAAATGCAGGCCCACACCACACGTGGTGCTGCACTCGCCAAACTCACCCCATTCGGAGAAGCCGCCATGGACTGAAGGAGGATGTGGAGGAGACAAAAAATAATTTGCTGAATCGACAAATCATGTCCATTTGTTGTCATTTAATATAGAGAACTGCTTATGGGTCATTTTAAGGAAATTGAATAATTCTAAAAAAGATGTTGGTCTTCTGGATGTCCACAAATGCTATCCAGTCAAAAGTTATTACTCATGGCTAGTTAGGTTTTAGGGCAGTGTGCAAAATTTATGCTTGTCCTGTGGTCCCTGGCTAGTAAAACTTCATCATGACCACTAAATGATAAGTTTGCAGTCGTCCTGGTGGCAAGAGAATTTTGTATGGATAGCTAAGTAAATCTACGAATGTTATTTTGGACCAGTGAAGTACAGATAGGACCACTAATTATTGTCTACTCACTGGTCCTGTGGTCTAGTGGAGAAATTTTGAAAGGTTTCTTTCTCTGTAGGGGATTCCGTGTTGCTAGAAGATGATAAAAGTTACCAACTGTCATTCTTTCTGAGCAAAACTTTTGTAACCATTACAACAAACTGACCAGCTGATGTTTTTACAAGGAAACAAATGACATGTTGATGCTTGCTTCTACAATGGAACTACTGTCTGAATATCTGATGTGACAAAGTCATCTACTCACCTACCACTTTCAAATCCGTCTCTACGAAGGTCTTGCCGAGCTTGTTGGTGGCGAAGCAGCGATACAGACCAGAGTCATCCATCTGGGTTGCCACAATCCTACACCAGGGACAATGTGACACGTTAGAAGACAGATTACTAACCAGATAATCATTAAGTCTGTTTGTTGTTGGTGTAACAGTGAGTGAGTGAGTGAGTTTAGCTTTACGCCGCTTTTAGCAATATTCCAGCAATATCATGGCGGGGACACCAGAAATGGGCTTCACACATTGTACCCATGTGGGGAATTGAACCCGGGTCCTCGGCGTGACGAGCGAACGCTTTAACCACTAGGCTACCCCACCGCCCTGGTGTAACAGAGTAAACAAGCATTGTCACTAAGGTGACATAATCCCCCACCACAAATTATCAAATCAAACTTATGAAAGTTTAAGATGAAGTAAAATGTCAACAAAAACATGACCAGTCAACCTCTCTTGATATCTTGCTCTTTAGTTGTTCAAACACACACATATTTTCAAGACTGACTTTGACCTTGACATGAATGTCATAGTGTATGAAATATGCAAAAATAGTACTAAAGAAATTGCTTATTGAAAAACATTCAAGGGAAGTCTTGAAAGTCTATGAAGAAAATCCAGTGAACCATTCTTGAAATATCTTGCTAACAATTCAGGTTAACATGCTGAAATCTTCAAAGTGTTGTCGTGACCATGAAAATTATGTGAAGGTCACCAAAATTGACTGGGCCCTGGGCCTTCCCTAGATGAAGCTTGGTGTCAATATGAAGAAAATCCAGTGAATATTTTTTGCGATATCTTGCTGACTAACTGCAAATTAAGTTAAGGTCACCACTTGACTGGGCCCTGCGCCTTTTAACATGGTGAAATCTTCAAAGTGCAGTTTAACATGCTGAAATCTTCAAAGTGTCGCCATGACCTTGAAAATTATGTAAAGGTCACCAAAATCGACTGGGCCCTGCGCCTTCCTTAGATAAAGCTTGGTATTGAATATGAAGAAAATCCAGTGAAAGGTTCTGGAGATAGCTTAACATGCAGGTAAAACGTTAACGTCCCCTTGTGACCTTGAAATGAAGGTCAAGGTCACCCAACCTGACTTGATCCTTTCTTATACTGTGATGAACCTAGGTACCAAATATGAAAAGAATCTAGTGAACGGTTCTTAAGATATTCCAATTCATACGGACAGAAGGAGCCTAATACTATATCCCCCGCTTCGCGCTAAACGTGCGACAGGGGATAACAATCAAATTTGGATCTGACAATCCAGTGAGTGTTGTTTTTGTTTTGTTGGTCAATGCAGTACTCAGCAATATTCCAGCTATAAGGAAGCAGTCTGTAAGTATTCAAGTCTGGATTAGACAATCCAGTGATCAACAGCATGAGCATCAATCTACGCAAGTGGGGTATGATGACATGTGTCAACCAAGTCAGCAAGCCTGACCACCCGATCCCATTGGAAGGGATGGCAGCAGGAAAATCTATTTTCAGCTGAAAACGTAATATTGTGTCATCGAGTTGAGGGTTTCTCAATGGATTTAGATGATTCACAATTGAACAATTTGACATAAAATCAGCGGAAATCCATGGATCAGTGGAAAATTGCCATCACTGCATTAGTCGCCTCTTACGACAAGCATAGGTTACTGAAGATCAATTCCAACCCGGATCTTCACAACTTCACCAAGCATGGGTTGGTGAAGACCAATTCTAACCTGGATATTCCCAGGGTTAGTCCAAAGATTGACATCATATGCAGTACAGATATGGGGCATGATGGCATGCAGCAAGCCTGATTACTCTTCGACAAGAATGGTAACAGGCAAGACAAACCTAAGGAATATGGGAGTGACATGGGTTTAACATGCCTTGAACATTCTCTGTTATATCATACAGCTAGTTAAAGAGCACTCACTGCATTCGCTAAATTCTAACCACTCACAGACTTTGAAGCACACTACTAATGGACTTCTAAGCAGTTGCCAGGCTTCTAAGCACATTATTCACTAAGACTGACTGACTGACTAAGTTTGGTTTTACACCGCTTTTAGCAATATTCCAGCAACATCATGGCGGGGGACACCAGAAAATGTGCTTCACACATTGTGAAAATGTGGGGATTCGAACCCAGGTCTTTGGCGTGACGAGCCAACGCTTAACCATTAGGCTACCCCCCCGCCCTATTCACTAAGAACATTCAGCTTTCACATTATTCACAGTATGGAAATTGAAAAAGTGCTAAAATGTTTTCAGCACTATCGACTGGAAAAACCTTTGTGCAAGTTTAGTATTTGACATGAATTATTTATTTACTTTGTATGTGGTAAATTTTTATAATCTGCAATCTGTTCATATATTTTGTGCTGGTTGGTTGGTTGGTTGGTTGTTGTTTAACGCTGCATTGCAATATTCCAGCCATATGGTGGCGGTCTGTAAATAATCGAGTCTGGACCAGACAATCTAGTGATCAACAGCATGACCATCGATCTACACATTTGTGATACGATGACATGTGTCAACCAAGTCAGCGAGCCTGACCACACGATCTGGTAAGTCGGCACTTACGACAAACAGGTTGTTGAAGACCAATTCTAACCCGGATCTTCATGGGTTTGTGTTGTTTGAGATAAAGATATGTTTTTTATTAGGTGAGTTAAGGAATCGAACCCGAAGCATGTGTTTTTTTGTGTGTATATTTTGTGTTTGGTAACTTTCAGATCTGTCATATGTTTTCCTGTGTTACCTGAGTGAGTTGTTAGGCAGTACAGTGATGCGCCCAGAGGAAACAAGGGGAGTGGTCTCCTTCCACCAATACATGTCAGGCTTAGGGTCGCCACTTGCAGTACAGTCCACAATGATTGTCTCCCCTTGATCCACTTTCTGACTCTTTGGAGGCTCAATCTTAAATGAAGGTCCAGCTGGAAGAAATACAACATACAAATAGAGACAAAATATACATACCAGCAACATCATGGCGGGGGACAGCAGAAATGGGCTTCACACATTGTACCCATGTGGGGAATAGAACCCGGGCCTTCGGCGTGACAAGCAAATCCTTTAAACACTAGGTAACCCCACCGCTTCAAATATACATAAGAACCTCCTCCTGTAAACTGGAGGCACCTCTCAGCCCTATAACAATCAGTCATATATCTTGAGAATCCCATGGGATTAGCAGTGGTCTTTGTGTTTCTGTACTTGTTACAGTGACTTTTCAAACCATCAGTGAAGACAGGGCTGACCAATGATTAAAGGTATCTATCAAGCCCTCATTCCAATTGCTGCTTTATGAGGTGAGGTGAGGTGAGGTGAAATTGGGTTTTACGTCGTGCTTGAGAATATTTCGCTCATATGATGACGTGCATGCATGTGCATGTGTATGAGCGGCTGCTTGTACTAGCCCAGACTTAAGCAGGTTTTATAATGCTAGCCCACTGAGATACCATGCCGCAGTGAAGAATGAATACACCACTCAGACACATTATACTGACTCCGAGCCAACCAGTTATTGTTGTACCCATTAATGCCGAGCGCCAGGCAGGGACCAACAAGTACCATATTTTAACGTCTTTTAGTATGACGCGGTTGGGGATCGAACCCGCGAAACCTTCCGCTCTCCGGGCGGACGCTCTAACCACTACACCACGGAGGCGGTCTTGCTGCTTTATGACAAAAAGAAGCTTAAATTACTGTACTGTCTCAAGCACCAGGTTTTGTTCTACTCATCTATTTTGAGATACATTCAATCAAGATGTTGTATACTGTGGCACAAAAACCCCCCAGAAATTCATTGTGACATCGTGGTCATTCAATGAGTATGGCTTCACAGTTTCCTTTATTGAGTTAACAAGTTTCACTTTTTCACTGAAACTCAATTTCATAACGAAACTAATTGTCTTTCTTCATTATGATATTTGGGGATTTGAAATATCACAGCAAATTCAGCAAAGAACTGATCTTACACCACACTGTGACTGTTGCTCTGCTCTCAGATGTCCCAGCAGTGTTGACAGCGATACATTTGTACTCGCCTGCATCCGAAGACTGCAACAGAATGGGGAATAACTCAGTGTCAACTGATAGGATACATCAATATAAGACTGACCGATATAGATCAATGTCAACATAACTGGGATACATCAACTGAAGTACTGACAAAACACATCAACAAGAACACATCAGTGAAGGTCTGATAGGGAATACATCAATGTAGGATTGATATGGAATATATCAACACAGGATTGATAGTGAACACATTAGTGAAGGTCTGATACGGAATATATCAACACAAGATTGATAGTGAATACATCAGTGAAGGTCTGATATGGAATATATCAACACATGATTGATAGTGAATACATCAGTGAAGGTCTGATACGGAATATATCAACACAAGAAAAACAGCACTTCCAAAAAGTCATCATGTATTCACCACTGTCAGTATTCCACTGAATCCTATGACCAACTTACATGCATTAGTGCTTGTCTGTTGTAAGAGTTAGCAATTTCATGTACAGGTTAAAGGTAAGTCTTGCATATGATGTTATTCATACATCACTCTCTATAATACAGTGGACTAGACTAGTCAAGTTTATTGTATTCAAGGCTTCCGGCCCATATACAAGGAGTTACATACATATACATGACTATAATACATAATACAATGACAATTATGAAATTACTTGGATAGCCTATCATTTCTCAAGACAACAGCATGTTTTACAAATAGAGAAAGGTTACGGATAACAGTTTCATTTCTGGAAGTGAAAATCGAGACAAAGGCAATTGTTGGATATTTTGATAGATAATTACTTTAAATTATATTTTCTTCTAAGATCATCATAATATGGACATACAAATATAAAATGAATTTCATCTTCAATAGATGAAGTGCATAATGGACAAATTCTCATATTTCTTTCTATAGACAATCTTCTTCCTTTATTAACACTTAAAGCTACTATACTATAAGAAAACTGATACTGACTGTAGAATCATATATGACAAGCGATCCATTGGATAGCTGCTGTATTCTGTGGCTTAGTTCTACGGCACGCCCATTCTTTGTCCACAGAATCTCAGGAATTGGGTCTCCACCCACTGAACACTCCAGGACAACCTTCTCCGCAATCTTCACTGCCTTGTTGCCGGGGGGAACAAGCATCCTGGGAGGAACTGAAAAAATGTCACATAATCAGACTGAATCCGTAGCGATTTTGGCTCATACATAACCATGATTTCTGAATAAATATTGCTCTGTAAACAAACCTAAGGCTGATGCCCAAGCATGTCAAAGGGTAGTGATCAGGGAAGAGCAATACCTCCCCTGACCATGAGAGAAGCTTACCTTTAACGACAACATTTGCGGTTGCTGTCACCTGCTGGTTGTTGGCGGGGTTGGTGGCTACACAGGTGTACTCGCCGTTGTCGGCCCGGATAGCGTTCCTCACAAAGTACACACTGCGGCCATTGATACTGACGGGAGCTGGAACACAAACATTTGCTGATTGGAGTTTCATTACGAGGATGGCAGGTGGACACTTGCAAGTGATAGGTGTTGACCTCCACACATATTCTTCCTTAATGTGTACTACTACCAGATGTCATTAGAAAACTTGACAATGAGTAGACTCTAAAAGTTGATATGGGGCAAAGGCTGATGATGGTGATGAAGATGAGACACTTTAAAGTTGAAGGTGAGGTGAGGAAATTGGGTTTAACGTCGTACTTGAGAATATTTCGCTCATATGACGACGTGTATGCATGTGTATGTATGTGTGCGGCTGCTTGTACTAGCCCAAGACTGAAGCTGGTTTTATAGTGCTAGCCCACTGAGATACCATGCCGCAGTGAAGCATGAATACCCAACTCAGACACAGTCTACTGACTCCAAGCTGACAGTCCTTGTTGTACCCATTAATGCCGATCACCTGGCAGGGACCAACAAGTACCATATTTTAACGTCTTTTGGCATGACGCGGTCGGGGATCGAACCCGTGACCTTCTGCTCTCCGGGCGGACGCTCTAACCACTACACCACGGAAGCGGTCCAAAGTTGAAGGAGTGAGTGAGTGAGTTAAAATTTAACGTCACCTCAGCAATATTTCAGGCATATAGTGACGACAAAGTTGAAGGAGACATGGGTGATGGGAATCATTGGTGGTGGTGAACGGGCATCACTTGTGGGTGATATGAGGTGTGCTTGGAGCGAGAAACTTAGCGGGCATTCACAGATTTTCTTGGCATGAGGCATTTGGTGGGAAGGGAGGAGACACTAAACTGCTATAGGCTTGCCACTGAAGAGTAAGTGATGGGGCGACACCTCCTACAGGCTTGCCATTGAAGAGTAAGTGATGGGGCGACACCTCCTATGGGCTTGCCACTGAAGAGTAAGTGATGAGGCGACACCTCCTACGGGCTTGCCACTGAAGAGTAAGTGATGGGGCGACACCTCCTATGGGCTTGCCACTGAAGAGTAAGTGATGGGGCGACACCTCCTACACCGGCTTGCCACTGAAGAGTAAGTGATGGGGCGACACCTTCCTAATGCAGGCTTGCCACTGAAGAGTAAGTGATGGGGCTGACACCTCCCACGGGCTTGCCACTGAAGAGTAAGTGATGGGGGCGACACCTCCTACAGGCTTGCCACTGAAGAGTAAGTGATGGGGCGACACCTCCTACGGGCTTGCCACTGAAGAGTAAGTGATGGGGCGACACCTCCTACGGGCTTGCCACTGAAGAGTAAGTGATGGGCGACACCTTCTACGGGCTTGCCACTGAAGAGTAAGTGATGGGGCGACACCTCCTACGGGCTTGCCACTGAAGAGTAAGTGATGGGGCGACACCTTCTACGGGCTTGCCACTGAAGAGTAAGTGATGGGGCGACACCTCCTGTAGGCTTGCCACTGAAGAGTAAGTGATGGGGCGACACCTCCTACGGGCTTGCCACTGAAGAGTAAGTGATGGGGCGACACCTCCTACGGGCTTGCCACTGAAGAGTAAGTGATGAGGCGACACCTCCTACGGGCTTGCCACTGAAAGAGTAAGTGATGGGCCACACCTCCCACGGGCTTGCCACTGAAGAGTAAGTGATGGGGCGACACCTCCCTACGGGCTTGCCACTGAAGAGTAAGTGATGAAGCGACACCTCCTAAGGGCTTGCCACTGAAGAGTAAGTGATGGGGTGACACCTCCCACCCGGCTTGCCACTGAAGAGTAAGTGATGGGCGACACCTCACAGGCTTGCCACTGAAGAGTAAGTGATGGGGCGACACCTCCCTACGGGCTTGCCACTGAAGAATAAGTGATGGGGCTGACACCTCCACGGGCTTGCCACTGAAGAGTAAGTGATGGGGTGACACCTCCTACTATGGGCTTGCCACTGAAGAATAAGTGATGAGGCGACACCTCCTACGAGGCTTGCCACTGAAGAGAGTAAGTGATGGGGCTGACACCTCCTATGGGCTTGCCACTGAAGAGTAAGTGATGGGGCGACACCTCCCACGGGCTTGCCACTGAAGAGTAAGTGATGGGGACACACCTCCCACGGGCTTGCCACTGAAGAGTAAGTGAGGGTGACACCTCCTACAGGCTTGCCACTGAAGAGTAAGTGATGGGTGACACCTCCTATGGGCTTGCCACTGAAGAGTAAGTGATGGGGCGACACCTCCTAAGGGCTTGCCATTGAAGAGTAAGTGATGGGGCTGACACCTCCTACAGGCTTGCCACTGAAGAGTAAGTGATGGGGCGACACCTCCTATGGGCTTGCCACTGAAGAGTAAGTGATGGGGCGACACCTCCTGTAGGCTTGCCACTGAAGAGTAAGTGATGGGGCGACACCTCCTACAGGCTTGCCACTGAAGAGTAAGTGATGGGGCGACACCTCCTACGGGCTTGCCATTGAAGAGTAAGTGATGGGGCGACACCTCCTACCGGGCTTGCCATTGAAGAGTAAGTGATGGGGTGACACCTCCTGTAGGCTTGCCACTGAAGAGTAAGTGATGGGGCGATACCTCCTACAGGCTTGCCATTGAAGAGTAAGTGATGGGGCGATACCTCCTACGGGCTTGCCACTGAAGAGTAAGTGATGGGGCGACTGTAGGCTTGCCATTGAAGAGTAGATGATGTGAAGACACTAACCTACTATGGGCTTGCCATCGAATAGTACAGCTTGTTCAGCTTGACCTGATCAAGTGAATACTAATGCATTGCGTGACTGTGTCACAACTGGTTGGGTCCATTATTGTGAAGGGGTGCACCTTTGTCAGTCGATTGTCAACATGTTCGAACAGCAGACACAAGGTCGCCGTTTGACATCTCAGTGTCGAGAAATCGTCAGCAATGTCCTAACTTTCTTTAAACTTAAAAAAGAAGCTACATATGGTTTAATGTTTCCGATTCGGGCTTTTAGGCAGCGAGCAGCAACATTAATAACATTCTCTGCTCCCCTATTTAATGAAGTTAACCCGACCTGCCGTTTATGCCATTTGACCTCCCAGGGCATGCATATGTAGAGTAGCTCAGGTCAAGCTGAACAAGCTGTAGGTGATGGGAAGACACTAACCTGCTACGGGCTTGCCATTGAGCAGCCAGGTGATTGTGGGGGTTGGCACGCCATCTGCAGCACACACCAGCTCCAGCCTCTTGTTGATGGTCACCTCCTTGTCCAGGGGGCTGATGATGATACGTGGTGGAACTGCAGCAGAAAACACAATGCATGATCGTACTGCAGTTGTAGCATAAACAGCATCTGGTGGAAACAAGCCATACATTACGACCCAGGTGCTGCTGGAAGGACAGGACATCTTACCATCTCACCAACATCTGGCGTCATTACTGATTTTTATTGATCAGTTTAGATGATTTTCCATGATTTTTTTGTCCTTAATGTCCAAAGGAATGTCTTTGGGAATCTCTTTTACAGTAAGTGAGTGAGTGAGTGAGTTTAGTTTTATGCGGCACTCAGCAATATTCCAGCTATATGGCAGCGATCTATAAATAATCGAGTCTGGACCAGACAATCCAGTGATCAACAGCATGAGCATCGATCTGCACAATTGGGAACCGATGACATGTGTCAACCAAGGTCAGTGAGCCTGACCACGCGATCCCGTTAGTCAGCCTCTTACAACAAGCATGGGTTACTGAAGATCAATATTCTGTCCCCCACACGGGTACAATGTGTAAAGCCCATTTCTGGTGTCCCCCACCATGATATTGCTGGAATATTGCTAAAAGCGGTGTAAAACCAAACTCACTCGTTCAATATTCTATCCGGACCTTCACAGGGCCTCTTTCACAGGAAATCAAGACTTGCTATTTTCTAGTATTGTGTATACAATATTCAAAAACAAAATGTAAGCACTGCGTATTTGTTTTACATATGCATTAGCTATCTTTAAAATTATACCCGTTCAATTTAATTTCTATTTTCACAATGAGACATACACATTTTTCATTAAACAAACCAAAACTGATTATCTAATATTTTATACCTGCTTCTAGGGAAAGGTTGTCTGACCCTGTCAAACCACTTCTGAATGTCATGAATATACACAACTGGAAAACAGTGAGTGAGTGACGTGGGTTTTACACTGCATTTAGCAATGTTCCAGCAATATCATGGCAGCTGACACTAGAAATGGGCTCCACACAATATACCTATGTCAGGAATTGAACCAGGAGCTTCGGCATGATAAGTGAGCACTTTAACCACAAGGCTAATGCACAAGAAAACAAAAACTGTGTGTTGCACTAGCGACTAGCTTTAACACAATAACTTCTGCCAAATGTATAATTTCAGGTTTTCTATAACTTAGTTTGAGTGACATATTACACATTATTACCCTTAAGATACATTTGTCGAATTCTGATTGGTCAATAGCCAAAGCATACCAGAACATGTAGGCGGATTTGCGAGGGTGTACGAACCGTACAACCAATCAAATCTGTGTGTACACAAGACAAACCTTGCACCCTGAGCAGCCTGCTCTGGGAGTCCCGACCCGCCTTGTTGTCCGCCGTACACACGTAGCTCCCAGTATCCTCCGCCTCCACTCGCTCGATGATAAGAGAACCTTCCTCTGTGAGGGTATACTTGGGGTCCCTGGAGCTGATCCAACTCCCATCTCTGGTCCAAGAAATCCTTGGGGTAGGCTTTCCTCCTGCTTCACATGGCAAGGTTGCCCGGTCGCCAACGGTTACCACGAACTGGGGAGCTGCAGGCTTGATCTTTGGAGGGACTGCAAAAATATCAACATTTAAAAAATTGCTATTTCATTCAAATTACCTACAATTTTAAAAATATTATCAGAGGCCTTATTTTGTTCAAATTAAGAATAAGCCATGTTAATGGTCAGTTGATATTTATATTCTGAACAAAAAAGTCAGGTATCATGCATAATTTGGGAGATATGTTTGTGATGTGAAAACTACCAACAAAATTTCATTCAAAATGTGTTTGTTATTTAATGCTGCACTAAGCAATATTTACAGAGGCAGTTTTACAGAGGCAGTCTGTAAATAATCGAGTCTGGACCAGACAGTCCAGTGATCAACATCAGAAACATTGATCTACACAATTGGGATACAATGAGGTATCAACCAAGTCAGCAAGTCTGACCATCTGATCCCAATAGTCGCTCCTTGGACAAGCATGAAGACCAGTTGTCACTCAAATAATCACGAGTCTTCATAAAAAAAATATCCCCATAAATGCTAATGATCCCAAGCATCTTTTGGTTCAGTATTGATAAAAAAACAGACCTGCAGTCTGTTGGGTCAGCTTTCCATAAAATAAGTAGGAATCCAAATACATCAAAATATATTCTCATCTCTTTAATAGTATGATCTAACCAACAGTTTTAAACCAACAAAACTGTATCCCAAATGACACTTGCAGGTCTGGGCATTATCCACAGTGTCACCAGCAAGTATTGGCAATTGTGCTCACCTTCCACTGTGAGGGAGACGCTCTCTGAAACATTGCCAGCCTGGTTCTCTGCTATACAGGTGTATGTCCCCGCATCCAAAGCTCTGCAAAACAAACAGCATACAGGTGAGCACAAGTCTTTACAGGTATGTACAGTAGAGTGAGTGAGCGAGTATGGTTTTACGCTGCTTTTAGCAATATTCCAGCAATATCATGGTGGGGAACACCAGAAATTGGTTTCACACATTGTACCCATGTGGGGAATCGAACCCAGGTCTTAGGCATCACAGGCGAACACTTTAACCACTAGGCTACCCCACCGCCCCATGTATAGTAGAGAGGTTTACATGGTTAAATATAGGTGTGTACATTACATACACTGAGTAATAGGGTACAATGTTGCATCCCCAACATCACAAACAAACAAAATACAGGTGAGTAATAGTGAGTACAGGTAGTGAAATGAGTGAGTTTAGTTTTATGCCACTTTTAGCAATATTCCAGCAATGTCATGGTAAGGGACACCAGAAATGGGCTTCACACATAATGTCCATGTGGGGAATCGAACCAGGGTCTTCGCTTTAACCACTAGGCTACCCCACTGCTCCTTACTGAAATGAGAGTAAAGAAGTATGTTGGTATGTACAACCCTGCATCCACCACTCTGTTCAAGGTGAGCCTGGGTGTGTACAGGTGTCTGTGCATCATTAGATCAGTCAAAGCAGAGAAAGAAACAGCAGATCGTCACAGGGAACTCATATTAATCAGCTTGGAAACTTACAGAGTAACAAATTCCTTTGGGGGACCAGCAGTTTATTCACACAATTTTTTCTTTATCCTTCAGGGTCAAAATTATTCAAATTACATGCTTCATATTTCATCATTTTTATCATTTAAATGAAAACCGACAACATAAGAACAGACTTTACCATGTTTTGTTATTTTGCCGACTTGAAAACTCACCTTCCAATATGAAAGCGCTAAATTCACACAAAAGCATTCTGTTCTTTCCTCTACAAAGACTAAGAATTGGTGAATGGGCATTTTATGTAACTTTTAGCAATATTCTAGGGGGGGGGAGGGGGGGGAGAGGAGGAGGAGGAGGAAGAGACACCGGAAATGGGCTTCACACATTGTCTCCATGTTGGGAATCGAACCCAAATCTTTGGCATGATGAGTGAGAGTGAATGCCTTAACCACCAGACTACCCAACCGCCCTGCCTGTACTGGTGACCAGAGTGAGGTTACCTTGCATGGTGTATGGAGTGACTTGAGTGAGTTTACCTTGCATGGGGTATGGCAAGTCCTCCGTTCTGCAGCGTGATGTAGTGGACGTGGCTGTAGGAGAGGCCGTAGTTGGTGGAGGTGATCTCCTTCCCATCCTTCTCCCAACGGATCTTAGGCTTCGGGATTCCTGTGGCGCTACATGGCATCACAGCTGTTCGGTTCTGGAGAACCACAAAGTCCCGATATGCCATAGTGATGGTCGGTGGAACTACAAGCAATGGCTGACATTGGAGACTCACAAGACATAAATTGACTTAGCTTGATGAATTTGGAGTAAAGCTTAAGTATGGTTTCAAACACTACTGTTCCAGAAAACCTGAACTTCAGAAATCTACCAATTACTCAAAGGGGCTAAGGAGTTTTGATGTCACATAGGCAGTATCTCAGCCATACTGTCACGGAATTACTGGAAGGAAGATAAACATTGATACTTGAGACCCATTTTGAGCTAGAATCCCCACAAAAGAAAGGTGTAGGCATTAAGGAATCTCTTGTTCCCAGAATTATTTTTGGAGAATACAATGTAAAAATGGGCTAATGATCACCAACAACTGAAGGTAGAACACCATACTAGGGACCATGGTGACTTTTGCTACCTGCATGGACCCTAGCTGGATTTATATCATCCCGTCAGCCGATGGCGATTGTAGTCGAATTTAGCCATAAATTTAAGTCACAAAAATACTACGTTTTAAGAATTTGGTAAGTTCAAATTTACTTTAAATGTTTCGGGACTTACATACCCTCTCACCATTGAAAGACAAGCCTACGGTAATGAGGACAATCTGCACTAGAATCTCCACAGGAGACAAGTAAGAGGTACTCGGAATCTTTTCTTTCCCAGAAGACAATCTATACATCAAGCATGGGGTACTGGGGACATACTTTGCTCCAGAATCTCCACTGTAAGACAAGCCTATGGTACTGAGGACTGATTCTGTTCTAGAATCTTTACAGGAGACAAGCAAGAGAAACTGGGGATCAAGTCTGTCTTACATGACATACTGGGCACCTATACTGGAACCAGGCACCAAAACCTGCCCCAACAGTGGCCCCACCTTGTACTTGGAGCGTGATGTCCCTCTTGGAGGAGCCTGCCCTGTTCTGGGCGATGCAGGTGTAGACGCCCCGATGATACAACTGCAGGTCTGTGATGTGCAGTGAGCCATTGGAAAGTATGTGGTAGGAGCCTGAAGACGAGAAATACAGAAGAGTTCATTTATATTTTTAAAAAATCAAACATATATTGGATTCTTCCTTTGCATGTTACACCTTTGCAGTGGCTCAGAGTGATGTATAGTACTTGATTTGTACAATAATGACACACCATATGAAGGTTTCAATAACATTCTAAGATGCCTAGCGGTTAGAACAATCAAAAAAAAAATACACTATCAGACAATAAAGGTATAGTTTTTTGATGACGTAACAATTGAATGACGTTATTCCGTCACTGCGCCATTCTAGTGTGCCCCCTCGTAATCGAACCATTTTACATTACATCACAATGTAAGCGACGTCACGATGCATGTCAGTTGTCATCGCCTCGTACGGCCTCCTACAGTAAACTACACCGTTGCATCCCGTTTCTTGGTTGGCTGTTGCTTCACGCAGCTAACATCACTGGTGGAAACATTACGTTTATGTTTTACGGCCCCGGTTAAAATGTGTCATTTCGACTCACAAGTTTTCAGCGACACGGTAGCGTTCGCAATGTTTATTCCCACAATGCAATCGAGGAATGTCGCTAGACTACTCAACTTCCTCTGGATGTACTGATCTAAACTTTCGTTGGTAGTAGAAATGCAACGTTCATATTGCCACATATGGTTTACGTTAATGACAGATGTAATTAAAATAATTCAGAGAAGATATTTAATCCGAACGTAAACCGTCATCAAACTGTTATCATTTGTTTTTTCTGGTAACGTTCGGTCTTAACGTAGGGGCAGACACATCAATAGAACAGCGCCAGTTAGCCCTGTGCGAGGATTCTTAATTTAGGTCACCGACAACCGCCGCTTTTGTTTTCTGCCTTAAATTAATCATAATGATCCTTAGAAAGTATTAAATTTGGCATCTTAGAAAAGAAATAGTTAGCTCTACCACCATCATGTATAGTGTAATAAAAACACACTTTAACCCCTGAACTATTATAGCGTTAAAGCTATTTTAACTATAATAGTTCAGGGCAAAAGTGTGTTTTATTACACTATACATGGTGGTAGAGCGAACTGTATTTCTTAATTCAAACTTATGAATTAACATGCCATACAAATAACTTTTCTCTATTTATTTATAAATAGCAAGAATTTATAATTGATCTCTTATGCTTGAATATTTGTTACTTTCACCTATCTACTCATAATACTAAAAATTCACCTCACCTTCCTCTACATGACCATATTTTAATAAGTCTCTCCTTTATCCCTCTACAGTAGAGCCCTGCTCTCATCTTCCCAAAGGACAGCACTGTCCTTCAGCCACCCCAACCCTCATCTTCCATGAGGAGAGTCTGTTCTCCAGTCGCGCCACCCTCATGATCTTCTGAGAGGAGAGCCCTGTCCTTCAACCACCCCAACCTCATCTTCCATGAGGAGAGCCCTGTTCGTCAGCTGCCCTACCCTCATCTTCCATGAGGACAGCCCTGTTCTCACGCCACCCTACCCTCATCTTCCATGAGGAGAGTCCTGTCCTTCAGCCACCCCACCCTCATCTTCCATGAGGAGAGTCCTGTCCTTCAGCCACCCCACCCTCATCTTCCATGAGGAGAGTCCTGTCCTTCAGCCACCCCAACCTCATCTTCCATGAGGAGAGTCCTGTTCATCAGCTGCCCCACCCTCATCTTCCATGAGGAGAGTCCTGTCCTTCAGCCTACCCACCCTCATCTTCCATGAGGAGAGTCCTGTCCTTCAGCCACCCCACCCTCATCTTCCATGAGGAGAGTCCTGTCCTTCAGCCACCCCACCCTCATCTTCCATGAGAGGAGAGTCTTGTCCTTCAGCCACCCCCACCCTCATCTTCCATGAGGAGAGCCCTGTTCGTCCAGCCACCCCACCCTCATCTTCCATGAGGAGAGTCCTGTCCTTCAGCCATCCCACCCTCATCTTCTTCATGAGAAGAGTCTTGTCCTTCAGCCACCCCACCCTCATCTTCCATGAGGAGAGTCTTGTCCTTCAGCCACCCCACCCTCATCTTCCATGAGGGAGAGACCTGTTCTGTCAGCTGCCCCACCCTCATCTTCCATGAGGAGAGTCCTGTTAGCTTCAGCCACCCCACCCTCATCTTCCATGAGGAGTCCTGTCCTTCAGCCACCCCACCCTCATCTTCCATGAGGAGAGTCCTGTCCTTCAGCCACCCCACCTCATGATCTTCCATGAGGAGAGTCCTGTCCTTCAGCCACCCACCCTCATCTTCCATGAGGAGAGTCCTGTCCTTCAGCCACCCCACCCTCATCTTCCATGAGGAGAGCCCTGTCCTTCAGCCACCCCACCCTCATCTTCCATGAGGAGAGTCCTGTCCTTCAGCCACCCCACCCATCATCTTCCATGAGAAGAGTCTTGTCCTTCAGCCCACCCCACCTCATCTTCCATGAGGAGAGTCCTGTCCTTCAGCCACCCCACCCTCATCTTCTTCATGAGGAGAGTCCTGTTCTTCAGCCACCCCCACCCTCATCTTCCATGAGGAGAGTCCTGTCCTTCAGCCACCCCAACCTCATCTTCCATGAGGAGAGTCCTGTTCGTCAGCTGCCCCACCCTCATCTTCCATGAGGAGAGTCCTGTCCTTCAGCCACCCCATCCTCATCTTCCATGAGGAGAGTCCTGTCCTTCAGCCACCCCACCCTCATCTTCCATGAGGAGAGCCCTGTCCTTCAGCCACCCCACCCTCATCTTCCATGAGGAGAGTCCTGTCCTTCAGCCATCCCACCCTCATCTTCCATGAGGAGAGTCCTGTCCTTAAGCCACCCCACCCTCATCTTCCACAAGTAGAGTCCTGTCCTTCAGCCAACCCACCCTCATGATCTTCTCAGAGGAGAGAGAGCCCTGTTCAGCCCAACCCACCCTCATGATCTTCTCAGAGGAGAGATAGCCCTGTTCTTCAGCCAACCCCCCACCCTCATGATCTGATCTCCTTCAGCCAGCCCACCCTTATGATCTTCTAAGAGAACAGCTCTGTTCTTCCACCACCCCAACCCAGCCCACCCATTCACTATGAAACCATCTTCCTCTCACTCACCCTTATCCTCCCGTAGGAGAGCCCTGTTCTTCAGCCAGAAGATTCTAGGTTTGGGGGTGCCCTCCACTTCACAGGGCAGGGTAATGCCAGTGGACAGTGGAGATTTCACCACAGCTGACCCGACATTCAGTATCTTTGCAGGAACTGACAACAAGGGACATGTCATACTGAAATTTTTCATTATACATATGCAGTACATGAGGTTTATCACAATTTGACGAGGAAATGTCTTAAGCTTTACGATCCATAACTTTTTGCAAAGATACTACATCAAGATATAATGGCAAAAAGGGTCCAATTTGAAATATGAGATGCCAAAAATAGCTGTCCAATCAAATTGCAATTAAGAATGAGAAAGTGAGTGACTTTAGTATTACGCTGCAATATAATTGCGGGGGACACTAAAATGGGTTTCACATATTGTAGTGATATTGGGAATCAAACCAGGGTCTTTGGCGTGGTGAGACTATGCTTTAACCACTAGACTACCCCACCAACCCAAGAATGAGAGAGAATGTGTGTGAAATTACAGTGAGTGAGTTAAAATTTACCGTCACATCGGCAATACTGCAGCCATATCATGACGAGGATTTGAATAATAAATATAGTCGCAATAATTTAAGTCAAATTATACAACCCTGTCAACGAAGGTGTGAAATTACAGACCAGACAGAATGGGTAAGAGAAATTGCTCAATGAAGCTGGGGTAGAGAGCAAGTCCAGGGTATATACAGTAATGCTACACTTGAAGACTTATTTGTGACTGTTCTCTTACCTTGAACATCAACGCTAATGGTGCGGGTGGCGCTGCCTGCACTGTTGGATGCAGTGCACTCATAAGTCCCAGCATCCTCTATCATGATCCGTGAGAACTCCAGTGACCCTGACCTTAACATGCGGTGCCGGAGGCCGGTGGAGGGGAAGCTGGAGCCATCCTTGGTCCAGGTGATGTTCGGCTGGGGCTGACCACTCGTCTCACACTGAAGGACTGTCGGTGTGTTGACCTCGGCTGCGATCTGGGTGGCGCCGTTTCCGATTTCCGGGGGAACTGAACAGTAAGGTATTATGTTTGCTGCACTCAACAATATTCCAGCTATATGATGATGGTGTACTCATAATCAAGTCTAGACCAGACAATCCTGTGATTGACATCATGAGACTTGATCTGCAGAGTTTACACATGATGTCTCTGTCTGACCGTTGTTTAATGCCACTCAGCAATATTCCAGCTGTATGACGGATGTCAGTAAATAATTGACTCTAGACCAGACAATCCAGTGATCAGCATCATCAGCATTGGTCTACCAAACTTGGATACAATGACATGTCCTTGGTCACCTCTTATAACAAGAATGGGTTGCTGAAAATCAATTTTAACCCTGATCTCCATTGTACAGATGGGAATTGAGAGATTTAGTGACACATTAATGGCAATAATCATTGATTTGCTGTTTGCCTTATTTTATCTTGTTGCCAAATTACAATAAATATGGCAACGTTTTCTTGGGCCAGAAATGGAATGGATTCATCATAACTTCAGGCTGGGACATTATCTTGCAACTATTATTTCAGATCCATTGTTCCATTGTGATTTCGATTCCCAATGTGGGATTTAACAGATTTTCTGAGAAAATCTTTTATTGGCTTCAATTTCTTTGGTCTGACTTTTAAAACAATAGATAATATTTTTCTCTCCTTACCCATAATAGAGACTTCGAACCGGAGGCTTGCTTCTCCAGCTGTGTTGATGGCCTGGCAACTGTAGGCGCCAAAGTCCAGGAGTTGGGCACTGATAATGTACAGTTTCTTGCCATTATCAAGGATACGGATATTAGGGATGCCATACTGAGGGATTATCTCCCCTGACCTGTACCACCTGATCTCTGGGGGTGGTATTCCATCTGCTGGACACTCCAGAGTCACTGATTGGTCAAGAATGACTGGAACGTTTTGAGTCACCTCAGAGCCGTTGATTGTTGGAGGAACTGCAAGAGTACAATTCATGTGAAGATCCATGTGCATAGCTATGACGTACCTCATTCGTAAGTGACCTTGCCAACACTTTCAAAAAGTCTGCCATAATGCAATAACTATCTCTCAAGTATTGTTTTTTTGCTGTGTGATATAATTTGTTTTTGAAGGCTATAGTATTACAGCATTTACTTATCAGTGTGCATATAGATACAGAACTTATTTTTGTTTCCTTAAGGCAATAAGCATGTCATTTTGAAAATATCCGTCAGTTGTGATGTTTGTTTACATTCCATGAATAAACTCCTAAATTAATAGTTTGTACTAATACGTACAACAAAGATAAAAAAAAATTAGATTAAACAAAACCCAAAATACTTGAACAGTCATAAGCTTTGTAGGAGATTTATTCATAAAACCCACACAAATATTAGTCTGGTATAAGTAATACATACGCAAAACTTCAAGGTCATACTGCTTCTCTATAAAGCCAGCTTGGTTCTCAGCATGGCAGGTGTATCTGGCTGTGTCGATCGTGGACGCTTGTAGGATCTTCAATGCCTTGCCTCCGTTCTCTATGATAATGTTAGGATTTTCCTCTGCCACGATGATCTCACCATCTTTCAGCCAAAGGATCGAAGGCTTGGGGGTACCGCTGATGTTGCATGGCAATGTGATTGGCTGTTCTGTCACAACATTCAGCTTCTCGGGGCTCTCGTTACCATTGAACACAGGTGGGACTGAAACACAAGGTTTGTCAATCCTTTGGGGCTTCTACATGTACTATGTGAGTGAGTGAGTTTTAGTTTTATGCTGATGTTTGCAATATTCCAGCAATATCACGTCATGGTACACCAGAAATGGGCTTCATATATTGTACCCATGTGGGAAATTGAACTTGGGTCTTTGGCGTGACGAGCAAATGCCTGAACCACTAGGTTACCCCACCATCCCCACATGTACTAAGTGAGTGAGTGAATGAGTTCAGTGTTACGCCGCAATCATCAATATTCCAGCTATATGGCGGCGATCTGTAAATAATCAAGTCTGGACTAGCCTGACCACCCGATCCCGTTAGTTGCGTGTCAACCCAGTTTGCTTCTTACGACAAGCATGGGTTACCGAACATCAATTCTAACCCTGATCTTCATGGGTACACATCTACTAAGAGAGTACTTATTCCTCAAGGTAATGCTATAATCTGATATACTCTACAGCAATACTCTGACATATGGTATAGCAACAATCATATATACTCTATAGTGGCACTCAGATATACATCACTAGTCTGAAATACTGTACAGCTATACAGATACGACATATATCCATACTGATCCACTAACCAAACACATCCAGCTTGATGACCACCTCGTCGGTGCCGGCTTGGTTGAGGGCACGGCAGGTATAGTTCCCTGCATCGTCCAGCTGCGCGTTGCTAACCTCCAAGGTGGTGTCTCCATTCAGGACTCGCAGGTCACGGTATGGGAAGTCTAACAGCGGGACACGATCCTTCAACCACAGGATGCTAGGGGGTGGTACACCATCCACAGGGCAGTTCAAGGTCACGGTCTTGTTCTGGTGCACTGATGGGTTCTCTAGTACCAGGCTGCGGTCGATGCTCGGTGGAACTGAAATCACAAGTTTAGATTTATGCCTCTTTCAACAACATTTCATCAATGTCATGCATGTTCTCAATGTATCCCAGTTTTGAGGAAAACCCACCATATGATTTTGGAGCATAGGTATGGCAGTCTAAGGATCAAAACTGGGAAAGACCTGGAAATGAACAAATGATCAGCAATCTGCTGCAACTCTTTAAGGATTATTGACATTTTTACCCCTGTAACTTAGGATAACCTAAATACAGACTTGCAATGAATTAAAATGCAGACAAAATTGTAAGTTTTTTTAATAAAGAACACTTTCTATGACATAACAATGTCACCATACTGTTATCTATGTGAGATGAGTGAAGGGAATTACTTCTCATACAAGCATTACATATTCAGTGGACATACCAAGAACTTCAAGGCTGAATGTCCTCTCCAACTGTCCGGCTTCGTTGGTGGCGATACAGGTGTACTGGGCAGTGTCCTTCACCAGAGCCCTCACAATCTCCAGCTGCCAGCATGGTAAGCGAGAGAAGTCAGTACTACAATGACCATACTTAACCATTTGAGTGAGTGAGTATGGTTTTACGCCATGTTTGGCAATATTCCAGTAATATCTTGGCAAGGAACAGCAGAATTGGGCTTCACACATTCTACCCATATGGGGAATTGACCCGGGGTCTTCAGTGTGATGAGCTGACGCTTTAACCTCAAGGCTACCCCATTTGAAAAATGAATGCTTACCTAAACTAACAAATGGTCAAACATACCAAAACTTTATTGAACTAAAACTTTGTGCAAGTTTTCAGATACAAGAGAGATAAGATTCTTTGTAGTATTTTGTTTGTTGTATAACCTAACCCAATACATCTTTTGGTTTCGCCCACTTCCTGATTCACCCATGCCAATCCCAATAAAACAATTTTGATTGGAGGCTTATGCTCCCTTAATACATCTTAAAATAAATATTAAAAACTGCTGGGTAAAAACTCTTCTCCCTTACCTTTAGTCAACAGCAAGCTAGTTACTAAGGGGTTGTTGTTGACCATCTGCCAATAGGAGGTGAGGTGAAATGGGGTTTAACACCGCACTTAAGAATATTTCGCTCATATGACGACGTGCATGCTTGTGTATGTGTGGCTGCATGTACTTGCCCAGACTTAAGCTGGTTTTATAGTGCTAGCCCACTGAGATACCATGCCGCAGTGAAGCATGAATACCCCACTCAGACACATTATACTGACTCCGGGCTGACCAGTCCTTGTTGTACCCATTAATGCCGAGCGCCAGGCAGGGAACAACAAGAACCATATTTTAACGTCTTTAGGTCTGACACAGCCGGGGATCGAACCTGTGACCTTCCACTCTTCTAGCGGACGCTCTAACCACTACACCACAGAGGCTGTCTTGTAACATGGTAGAGGATGTTGTTCAGACAACAAGAAACTACTTACATGGCGGTTGTTGTTGAGGATCCTGACTTCATCCGAGGGGACAAGGGGCTGCCATTGATGAGCCACTCCACCTCTGGGATGGGGATGCCAGACACGGGGCACTCCAACAGCACTCGCCGCCCCTCTGTCACCTTTGGGTTGTACACCACGTTTGACTCATCGATGTCTGGCTTCACTGAAAATTAGTGAGAGATAAGTAGGTTATACCTTGTGTTCAATATTTAAACATAGTATCTAGTAAAATGAGATTGTGAGAGAGTGAGTTGGGAATCAAACATGAGTCTTCAGCGTGACGGGAGAATGCCTTAATTTAACTCAGCTATGACCACCTCCCCAACCTTACGCCTACTAGTGTTGGGAATTGGTTAAACTCTCCTACCGATCAATCATCGAAAATAATTGGTCAGCGTCATTTATCAAATTGCTCCATACATTGAAAACTGTTGCACAGTATAATGCACAGGGTGTTTCAATCAGAAGTTGTGCATGGGATTTGTAAAGAGTGCTCTAAGGAACATACCTCTGTGGGGTTTACTTGACATAATGTTCAGCCGGTAGAGGGCGCAAGAGTCGATTCAATGCAACGTTGCATTAATTCAAACTTTTTAACTTATTATTGTAATTTTTTTAAAATAAATTATGTGGTAGCTTCCCTGAGGGCTGATAGTGTTGAGAGAAACGCATTATTTATTTTTAGAGAAGTGTTGTGTGATATAGTGCCTTTAATATCTCAGAATTACACCATTAATTGGGCTGAAACAGCATTGTTTCCCTTACCAAGCACGACGAGGTCGAAGTCGGCCCTGTCCTCCCCTGCTGGACTGGAAGCAATACAGCTGTAGACTCCTGTATCAAGCTCAGACGAGTTCTGCACTCGCAGTTGGAGGCCGCCATTAAGTACCTCCACACGAGAGTCATATTCAATCTCACGATTGTTTCGTAACCACTTGATGTCCGGGAATGGAATACCAGACACAGGGCAGGTCATCGTAGCTACAAGGCCCTTTATAACCCGGGGGTTGGTCTCACGAGCTGTGTCATCAATGTGGGGCGGAACTGGAATGACAGTATATGAATCAGTCCATGCAATTGTTATTTGGGCATCAAAATTTCAGCTAGATAGTATTGACAGAGGCAAGAACAATGATAAAAATTGAGCATAGTGATACATAATACTTGTTAAATGCTGCATGCAGCCATATGGACGTGACATACAGTAAGATCTTGATCTCTGGTTTAGCTGCTAAAAAAAGGGGGAATTGGGAACCCCTTTTGTCCAACCCTCATTGGAGAATGTTTTGTGAACTGTCAATGTCAGCTAATTGAAAAGTTAATGTTCTGATACAAGCTAAAATGAATGTCTTGAGCTTAAATAATGTGCAATGACAATACTGTCAATTTCAACCCACATTTCTGAAAAGACAAAGCTGGTAAGGTGCAAGGTGAACCAGTAGGTGGTGGTTAACTTAAGCATCTCTACGTGAGAGGGTTGAAACTACAAAGTACTGTAATAATCTTGCACCAATGATGTGGTTCATACAGATCAAGTGAACGAATTGGGTGTTAGTGAGTGAGTGAGTTTAGTTGAACGCTGCTTTTAGCAATATTCCAGCAAAATCATGGCGGGGAATGCCAGGAATGGGCTTCACACATTTTGCCAATGTGGGGACTCGAACCCGGGTCTTCGGCATGATGAGCCAACGCTTTAACCACTAGGCTACCACACCACAATGAATTGGGTGTTAACAAGTGTCCAGCTGTCTCATGTTGGTGACACCAGAAATAGGCTTCACACATTGTACTCAAATTGACAATCGAATCCATGTCTGTCATCACAAGGCTACAACTAATGCCCCCATACAGATCAAGAGTCATAATGTAGTCATCTGATATTTAAGGAGAAAACTTGGGACAAAATCACTGAAAATGTCCAGTGAGAAATCTCTTCAACAGTTTCAGGCATTTACACCATTCACATGGAACAAATACTCGATGTACATACCCCAAACTTCCAGATCGTAACTCTGCTCTACCTCCCCGGCTTCATTTGAGGCCACACACAAATAGTTGCCAGCATCTGGGACATTGACACCTCGGATTATTAAGCGGCGACCACCATCCTGTAGAATCATGTGAGGGTTGGCTTCAAAGTCGATTGGCTGTCCTTCCTGCAGCCACATGATATCTGGCACTGGCACACCCTCGGCAGGACAGTCAAGGGTCAAGGTCTCATTCTCAATGATCTTGGGGTCAGTGATGACTCCCTCTGTCCTGATCTCCGGAGGGACTGAAATAAACGTTGAGTGAGAGTGAGTTTAGTTTTACGTTGCTTTTAGCAAAATTCCAGCAATATCACAGTGGGGGGACACCAGAAATGAGATTCACACATTGTACCCATGTGGGAAATCGAACCCAGGTCTTTGCATTATGAGCAAAGGTTTTAACCACTAGGATACACCACCACCCCGAAACATACTTGAGGGAGGAAGAGTGTGAGTGAGTGAGTTTAGTTTTACGCCGCACTCAGCAATATTCCAGCTATATAGCTGCGGTCTGTAAATAATCAAGTCTGGACCAGACAATCCAGTGATCAACAGCATGAGCATCGATCTGCGCAATTGGAAACTGATGACATGTGTCAACCAAGTCAGCGAGCCTGACCACCCGATCCTGTTAGTCAGCTCTTAAGACAAGCATAGTCGCCTTTTGTGGCAAGCATGGGTTGCTGAAGACCTATTCTACCCCGGATCTTCACGGGTCGAGGAAGAGTGTGAATGATAAAACTGATATGGGTCCCTTCAACATATAGAAAACAGAACCTTTACTGCAAGCCACAGAGCTTTGCCATGAAACATTTATTGACTAGGGTTGATAGACTCATGGAAACGAATAAGGGAACACATGAAAGTACAAGTGTTCCTTTATTCTTTCCAGGTTTCTTCACTAGGTATGTATAGCACTGTGGGTGAAATTCTGGAAATAAATAAAGGAACACTTGTACTTTCATGTGTTCCCTTATTTGTTTCTATGAGTATATATTTGATATCAAAACCCCTGTTTATTATCCAAAGTGATTATTTTCAGTTTGTAAATAGTAATACACATCATTTTGAGTGTAAAGAGGACAGCTAACCAGTGTGCTTGAGTGAGTATGGTTTTGTGCCTCAGAAATGGGCTTTACACAATGAACCAAGCCTGGTTCTACTGCCCCTACAGTTTCAGAAACTGATACTGAGTGGTGTTATCTTGTAGCGACATCATGGTAACCAATGGTCTGAAAAGCATTGTGATGCAATTTCATTGTAGCCTGAGGCTATGAGAGCTGTGTATCGTGGCCTATGTGGCGAGACGATATATATCGGTACCGATCCCAGTTTAATGAGGCAAGACGATATACTGAAAGTACATGTATTGGCAAGGAACCTGTGAATTAAAAAAAATTCAAATTCAAATTCAAATCAGGATATATATCGTTTCTTGTGCCGATACATCGATGTATCATGGACCCTGGCGATATAAATATCCTGATATATTGCCTAAATGTGTTTTGCATCGATGCACTCCTATCGCGTAGCTGATGATGCAAACACCGATACTATCCATGAATCGTTACACCCCTAGAGGCTATATTGCTTAAACTTAACCAATCAATATCTCCTGTGGTAGTCAGTTTGGGAGGATAATGTAATTAATGACATCCCCCTTTGAATAAATATCTTTTAGGTCTGTTGGCCTTAACTGAGCAATATCTCCTGTGGTAGTCAGTTTGGGAGGATAATGTAATTAATGACATCCCCCTTTAAATAAATATCTTTTAGGTCTGTTGGCCTTAACTGAGCAATATCTCCGGTGGTAGTCAGTTTGGGAGGATAATGTAATTAATGACATACCCCTTTAAATAAATATCTTTTAGGTCTGTTGGCCTTAACTCTTTCAACACCAGTCAACCAGAGGCATTTACTGCCGTGACACCGAGTTCCCAGAGACCCTGAGGTCATAGATGAAGCCTATGTTTATGAAGGAAATTATAAGCTTGTAAAACGTTATTGCTACTACATCCCATACACCATTTAAAAGATCTAATACCACTGTTGATAAATATGAAGTTTATTTTTATAATATTATTCAAATAATACAACTACAACTTAAATAAATGTATGTTTGAATGAAAATGCAAGCTTACATTTATAACGTCCAGATAAACCACGAAAGAAGCAAAAACTATGGCGATTTTTTTCCATTTGTGACATGTGATAACATGCCCGTGCCTTTTTCTTTTATATTTTCATTTTTACGTCATCAGAAAATTATTATAAAAGATTTCTTAAATAATATGTATGGTCAGCCTATTTCCCGATATCTGTGGCTTTCCGCTCGATAACATGACATAACAACGGAAAATACCTCCGTTTTGAAGCTTTGTATGCATAACATGCAGGCTTAATCGTTTGATGTCGGGCATCGTCGAAAAGCTCTGAACATCAACAATATCACTGTACCCTTGCCAAGAGTATTTTCACAGTTGTAAGAAGCGATTTTATTGGATAAAGATTGGTTTCTAATGACGCTTTTTCGCCACAGTCTGCTATAAGGGTTGTGATTGGTCAAAATCAGACACGTGACCTAAGGCAACCAATCATATTACGGCAATGGATACCGTCCTAAATGGCGAAAACCTTCAGATTTAGACAAAAGTTTTGGGTAAAATAATGCTATTCTGAACATATTAAGCAAGAAATCGCTACCTGTAGGTACATTATGGAACTTATTGGACGTATCGTGCTAGGTTATGACCTGTGACAAAAATGCTTCATGTATATATTTTTCGTGATTAAACATCGTGTCCGGCGTGAAGATTGGCGAGAGCGAGATGTCACTCGTCAGTGACTTGACTTACATTACATGATCGCACAAAAGATGGAAATAGTAATTTTATATATAACGTTTGACAACTTTTATGAATGTTGTTATTGATTTTATTCATTAGTTTATTCAATTTATTTAATGAATTCCTCGAAACATCGTTACTTTGCTCTTTCATAATGTTATTGTAGACCCGCTGCCGAAGCATGTGTCCGAGAATCGTTGTTTTCAATAACATTGCGAAAAATAGTTTATAATTTTAATTCTGCTGATAATATATGATAAATTGAAATTTAATAAGTGTTTTCAGACATTGTGAAATGTGATAGATTTAATATATGAATCATAAGTCAGGTAGGTTCCTAAAATTATGTCTCATTTTGACGTGACTACTGCCTGGCCGCTTAATCGGCCTCCGGTGTCTGGGGACTCATAACGTTGTGGCCGCTTAAGCGGCCTGCGGTGTTGAAAGGGTTAACCAATCAATATCTCCTGTGGTAGTCAGTTTGGGAGGATAATGTAATTAATGACACCACCCTTTAAATAAATATATTTTAGGTCTGTTGGCCTTAACCAATCAATATCTCCTGTGGTAGTCAGTTTGGGAGGATAATGTAATTAATGACATCCCCCTTTAAATAAATATATTTTAGGTCTGTTGGCCTTAACTGAGCAATATCTCCTGTGGTAGTCAGTTTGGGAGGATAATGTAATTAATGACACCCCCCTTTAAATAAATATCTCTTAGGTCTGTTGGCCTTAACTGAGCAATATCTCCTGTGGTAGCCAGCTTGGGAGGATAATGTAATTAATGATATCCTGCAAAAAGGAAAATATCTCTTAGGTCTGTTGTTGTGGAATGCCAAAGGGATACAATTCTGCACAAAGAATTACAGCAGAAATTGAAACACATTGTTTGAATTTTCTAGTTACAACATTTATTTTTTTCCAAACAGGTTCCATATATCGCCCATACAAATAGAAAAGAACCAATACCTACCATGTACACTGAGGTCGTAGGAAATGTCGTCCTCCCCTGCTGGGTTGTTGACTTGACATGTGTATCGCGCAGAATCTTCCACTGCTGCATTCCTGATTTGCAGTCTCATGTCTTGCTCTAGAAGTACAATGTCTGGATCGTTGGTGTTGAGGGGAGCGCCATCACGGAACCAGCGGATCGCTGGCGGTGGGTTGCCTTCTGCAGGGCAGTCAAGGTCAATGGTGCTGTTTACGATGACCTTGGGTTCGAAGTTGCTTCCTTGAGTGTTGATGGTAGGTGCAACTGGAAAAAGGATTGGATATCTGTATTGGTATATTATGGTAGACTGAATTATTAAGTTAGGATCAGCCAAAGCAGTGTTTGACGTCATAATCAGCCTGGTCACAGAGAAAACAGTGACTTGTGAAGGATTCTTAGCATTCAAGCTTCCCTCATTTTATTTCTGTTTAAGCTCAAAGGGACACACAGGGAGATAAATATAAGGTACAGGAGACCTATCCTGGGATTTACATTGAGAGTACTGAGTATGTCACACTGTGAGGTGAGGTGAAATGGGGTTTAACGTCACACTTAAGAATATTTTGCTCATATGACGATGTGCATGTGTGTGTGTATGTGTGGCTGCTTGTACTAGCCCAGACTAAAGCTGGTTTTATAGTGCTAGCTCACTGAGATACCATGTCGCAGTTAAGCATGAATACCCCACTCAGACACATTATACTGACGAACCGACCAGTCCTTGTACTCATTAATGCCACGTGCCAAGTACTATATTTTAATGTCTTTTGGTATGACGTGGCCCGGGGATCAAACCCACGACCTTCCGTTCTCCAGGTGGATGCTCTAATCACTACACTATGGAGGCGGTCAATTTACATTAACAGTACTGAGGATCATTTCGAGACTGCGGGAAAGAAGCACTGGATGTTGAAATCCTCACAGGGACATCAGGGATAAATCTATCCTGCCAAATCTATCCATCAAGTGCTGTGAACAGACACAAGGACATATCAGATGAATACACAACTTTACCAATACTCACTCCAAACATCCAGATCAAAGTTGATATCTTCTTCTCCTGCTCTATTGCGAGAGGCACAAGTGTACTGCCCTGCGTCCTTGAGCTGTGTGCGGTAAATGCGGAGTTGTCTCCCACTGGCCAGGATCTCGTACCGTGGGTTGCTGCGAGCATCAAGGAGCACATTGTTGCGATACCACAGAATCTCAGGCTGGGGGTTACCAGTCATGGGGCAACTAATGACAGCAGTGCTGTTGGCGATGACATGGGGGTCGGTCACTGTGTTTGTGCGGTTGATCTGGGGTGGTACTAGAGAAACAGGAGTGAAACACATCACAACACCTCACAGAGAATATTTTCACCCCGATCAGGGTTTTATATTCAGCCGTAAGTCAAAAGCAGATGACCATAAATCTAAACATTCCCATAATGACTGATAAAAAAAAATATACATCAAACTTTGAATGAAAAAAATCCAAATTCCAAATAGAAATTACTAATCATTCAGAATTTACAAATATAAGAACATGAAACAAAACATCCAAATATTTTCTCAGTTTGCCTGTAAAGAGCACTCAGTATGGAATCCTAGATAAATCTGGGCATAATATTACACATGAATATGAATAATGTGGACCAAAGTTATAATTATTGGTAACTGCCAGTTGTCTGTGGTCTGTGTTTGCCACGATTAGGACCCCATCGTGGGGATTGACTTATGCACGAAACATACCATTTTGACAGTGATTTTAAGGGTCAAGTTTGGGGTTGTCTTATCCATGGGGTCGTCTTATAGACGGTAATATAGGTATACATTGTGAACTGTGCCTGTAGAGTCTTGTATAGTCTGGCAGAAAACTTCTTGTGACGGTGTTTGGTCATTTTTCTCAAAAAGTACAAGTTCAATTGTTGTCTAATTTGGCAAGATGCAGTATAATTGTTCAAATATTGCGAATGTTGAATTTCATGAATTATGATTTAAAGTTGTCTATATAAGCTATCATTATGTCAAGACACAATAACATCTTAACTGTCAAGAGGCGATAGGCGACTATATCCGAACAGACTATAAGTTACTGTAACTTCATTCAGTCTGAAACCACTGACATCCTCGATGATTCCAGACGAGTCAAAACACTTCCAGTATATAATGACACTGTATTATCGAGATGATGACTGTAGAATGTGAGACTCACCTAAAACATCAACATCAAAGGCTTTCTCATTTTCCCCGGCAATATTCTTGGCCAGGCAGTAATGTCTCCCTCGGTCGGTGATGTCTGCAAACTTGATTTCCAGGACCCATCCCTCCTCGAGTAGTGTGTACTTGGAGGTGTTGAACTTGATGCTGAATTCATCTTTCAACCACGTGATCTTGGGTGGAGGGATGCCCGAGATAGGACAGCGTAGACGCAGCGTACCGTTCTTGATGACCTCTGTACTCTCCACCTCACCTGGCTTCTCCACCTCGGGCGGAACTAAACACATTAACCACTGTACTTATTGGTCCATTAGTATTAGCAAATTATCAATGAGTGAGTGAGTGAGTGTGGTTTTACGCCACTTTTAGCAATATTCAAGCAATACTACGGCGGGGAACACCAGAAATGGGCTTCAAACATTGAACCCATGTGGAGATTCAAAACCATGTCTTCAGCATGACGAGCGGACGCTTCAACCACTAGGCTACCCTGCCGCCCCCGAATTACCAATCAGATACACAAACAGAAGTCATTGCATCAGGACTAACAGAATCCATATTTCTAATTCCAAAATACTTCCAGAAGAAAATCAAGGTGTGTTACACATTGAATCTGTCATTTCTTCCAGGGTTCAAACTCATGAAAGGGACACCACTGCCAGTTAGTTTGAAGTATCAATAATTGCACATACAGCTTCAGGGCAAATGAACTTTTGATTAGACTACATATATGGTTCATAATATTTCGATTGTAATCAAGCATTAATTTATCAGAAATAACAATCACCAGATAATGTTAACTATTCACTAACTTAAATGTTAGCGTAAAGAGGGTATGTATGCATGTCAACCTTGTGTACTGGTTGATACGGCTGTTATTGTGTCTCAGTAATATTTGATGTTGGAGATAGGGACCAGTCAAGAAACAACTCGCTCCCAAATCTTGTATAACTAAATCAAATAGTCCCTTTGAGCTGATACCTGAATAAAACAGTCCCTATGGGCCCATAACTGAATAAAATGGTCCCTATTGGCCGACAACTGAAACATGTCCCTATAGGCCTATAACTGAATAAAACAGTCCCTATGGGCCTATAACTGAATAAAACAGTCCCTATGGGCCTATAATTGAATAAAACAGTCCCTATGGGCCTATATATGGAATAAAATAAATAACAGTCCCCCTATGGGCCTATGGGCCTATAACTGAATAAAACAGTCCCTATGGGCCTATAACTGAATAAAACAGTCCCTATGGGCCTATACCTGAATAAAACAGTCCCTATGGGCCTATACCTGAATAAAACAGTCCCTATGGGCCTATAACTGAATAAAACAGTCCCTATGGGCCTATACCTGAATAAATCAGTCCCTACAGGCCTATACCTGCTACACTAGGGTGATATTGAATCAATGGGTACAAACCGTGTACATAGACTTCATAGCTCTGCTCCACTTTTCCAGCCACGTTCTCCCCAAAACACATGTACAACCCTCGATCTGTGAGCTTGGCATTGGTCACTTCCAGACGACGCCCACTTGCCAGGACGTTAATGTTGGGGTCAAGCTCAGGAGAAAGAGGCTGACCATCCTTGAACCACTTGACTACCGGTGGTGGGATGCCTCCTATTGGACAGTTTATGTACAGGGGCTGACCAACCACCACTGTCATATTGTTGGGGGAAGATAAGCCTTCATCGACAGTTGGAGGGACTAGTAGGAAGAAAATAAATCAAAGAAAATAACAGAGCCATGAAACTAATTTTCCAAACATTTAAACTAACAAAAATACCATAATGTATCAAAAAGGTCACTGTAGGATAAATATAAGACAAACTGTATATTTACAAGAAACAACAAACTGAACATTTTATGCAACAATTATATGTAAGTGAATCAATTGAGCCTGAAATGAAATTTTCAAGATGTCTGCCACAAAGAAAACTCATGCATTCCTTATTATTTTTTCATCTTTGTTGCTAAAATATTTTTCATTTTCAATGAGGCTGTAGTAAAGCAAATTCTTACATATTTCCAAAGCAGCTTCTATTCTTTGCATATTTACAAATGTTTGAGAAACTCATGTTACCTTGGAAGGAAATGTCATCAAGTATGCACACAAAGTTTCCATGCAGACTTTTTCTACAGACCTCTATAGAAGATTAGAGACACTTTCTGGTCATGAATTAAAATTTTCAATATTTTCAACCAGTAACTACACTCATGTCAACCCTCACTCACCTAACACGTCCAAATCAAACTTTTTCTCAGTCTCGCCTGCAGGGTTGACAGCAGTGCACTTGTACCGAGCAGTGTCGCTGATCAGGGCATAGGCGATGATGAGTTCGAGACCCGAGTCTGAGATGGCGATGCGAAGGTCGTCAGGATTATCCCGCAGGAGCTGCCCATTCCTGTACCACGTGATGATTGGTGGAGGATCGACGTCCTCCGCAACAGGACATCGGATGGTGATGGAGTTGTTCACGATGACAGTTGGCTTGTCAACATCATTACCGAATGATCCATCAGTCTCCAGCTTGGGAGGAACTGAAAGTAGGGGCTAGTATACAGGATACTGGATACTCTCGTAGAGTGAGTGAGTGAGTTTAGTTTTATGCCGCTTTTAGCAATATTCCAGCAATATCATGATGGGGACACCAGAAATGGGCTTCACACATTGTACCCATGTGGGGAATTGAACCTTGGTCTTCAGTGTGACAAGTGAACGCCTTAACCACTAGGCTACTCCCCCCACCCTTTTTGAGTGAGTGAGTGAGTGAGTGAGGTTTCATGGCAGTCTTTACACATTGTACCATGTTGGGAATTGAACCCGGGTTTTTGCCATGATGAGTGTATACTTGATTTGGCCATGTCACTACCTCGATATAGAATGTCAGAGGACAAACGATCTCAAGTTCTACAGTGTCAGTCAGTGAGTTTGGTTTTAAGCCGCTTTTAGCAATATTCCAGCAATATCACAGCAGGGGACACCAGAAATGTGTTCTACATCTAGAACAACACTGACAACATCTCATTCTTCCACGTCACTCACTGCGAACGTACACTTACACCAAAATTCTTGACTCGGTGCTTGCGATTTCATTATCAAGGGAGGTCCTTTAAGTTTTTGCAGTTTTGTTTCAAATGTCTTTTCTTGACTTTTTCTTCACACAATGTACCAGGTAGGGCATTGAACCTGGGTCTTTTGCCATGATGAGTAAGCTTTATTTGGCTACACCGCTACCTCAATAAGGAATGTGCAGAAGCACACAGCTTTAGTTTAAGAGTGAGTGAGTGAGTTTAGTTTTACGCCGCTTTTAGCAGTATTCCAGCAATATCATGGCGGGGGACACAGGAAATGGGTTTCACACAGTGTGCCCATGTGGGGAACCGAACACAGGTCTTCGGCATGACGAGCGAACTCTTTTACCACTAGGCTACCCCACCACCCCCTTTATTTTAAGAAATTTTGGATCCTGACTAAACTTGATCCACCAAACAAATGCTATTGAATGCAAATGTCGTAAAAAAACAAAAAAATACATATTTACTAAACTGTATGTAGTTAATAATTACTTACTGAGTATCTTGAGATTACCAGCATGACATTACTTACCGAGTATCTTGAGATTACCAGCATGACATTACTTACCGAGTATCTTGAGATTAACATCTTGAGATTAACAGCATGACATTACTTACCGAGTATCTTGAGATTAACAGCATGACATTATTACTATCTTGAGATTAACAGCGAGTATCTTGAGATTAACAGCATGACATTACTTACCGAGTATCTTGAGATTAACAGCATGACATTACTTACCGAGTATCTTGAGATTAACAGCATGACATTACTTACCGAGTATCTTGAGATTAACAGCATGACATTACTTACCGAGTATCTTGAGATTAACAGCATGACATTACTTCACCGAGTATCTTGAGATTAACAGCATGACATTACTTACCGAGTATCTTGAGATTAACAGCATGACATTACTTACCGAGTATCTTGAGATTAACAGCATGACATTACATTACTTACAGCATCATAACGTTACGACATTATCTTGAGATTAACAGCATGACATTACTTACCGAGTATCTTGAGATTAACAGCATGACATTACTTACCGAGTATCTTGAGATTAACAGCATGACATTACTTACCGAGTATCTTGAGATTAACAGCATGACATTACTTACCGAGTATCTTGAGATTAACAGCATGACATTACTTACCGAGTATCTTGAGATTAACAGCATGACATTACTTACCAAGTATCTTGAGATTACCAGCATGACATTACTTACCGAGTATCTTGAGATTACCAGCATGACATTACTTACCGAGTATCTTGAGATTACCAGCATGACATTACTTACCGAGTATCTTGAGATTAACAGCATGACATTACTTACCGAGTATCTTGAGATTAACAGCATGACATTACTTACCGAGTATCTTGAGATTAACAGCATGACATTACTTACCGAGTATCTTGAGATTAACAGCATGACATTACTTACCGAGTATCTTGAGATTAACAGCATGACATTACTTACCGAGTATCTTGAGATTAACAGCATGACATTACTTACTGAGTATCTTGAGATTAACAGCATGACATTACTTACCGAAAGTATCTTGAGATTAACAGCATGACATTACTTACTGATATTAGTATCTTGAGATTAACAGCATGACATTACTTACCGAGTATCTTGAGATTAACAGCATGACATTACTTACCGAGTATCTTGAGATTAACAGCCTGACATTACTTACCGAATATCTTGAGATTAACAGCATGACATTACTTACTGAGTATCTTGAGATTAACAGCATGACATTACTTACCAAATATCTTGAGATTAACAGCATGACATTACTTACCGAGTATCTTGAGATTAACTGCATGACTGTCATTGCCCGCCACATTTTCCACAATACACATGTACATCCCTGAGTCTGTTGCCAGGGCGTTGTCCAGCTCCAGGTTGCCATCAGCTCGCAGAGTGACACCAAGGTCAGTGCTTGACACCTGTACACCATCCTTCAGCCACGTGATCTTTGGAGTTGGGGTACCTGTCGCTGGGCATCGGAGCATAACTGGATTGTTTTCAATGACCTCGGTGTAGGTCGGGAGATTTTCTGCTATTTGTGGGGGTGCTGGAAAAATGAATGAATGTTTTATATCATCTTTATAACATCTATATCATGGCAAGCCCTAGTCTCTCGTACAGACCCTGAAGCAAATATATCCAAGAAAGCCCACACAAGTCTAGAAAATGTGGCAAGTCTAGATTTCCTCAGCTTCTGAAAATGAAGAACGTCTCAGGGCTCCTTTTCATTATATATTTTTTTTTTACTATGAACTTTTTTCAGTAAAATATGTTCATTTCAGAGACTAGTTGTTAGTCTAGGCAAGCCCATACATGATGGCGTCTGGATTTAGAGAATCCAGTAGTTGAGACCATGATTAAAGATGCACAATTCATTGCTGTCACCCAATCATTGTAATGAAGAGTTGGTAAATGCCAAAATGATTGAAATCAATTCCAAACTGAAAATCTCAGCAAAATATCCTCATCAAAGACTGACTGACTGAGTATGGTTTTACGCCGTTTTTAGCAATATTCCAGCAATATCACGGCGGGGGACACCAGAAATGGGCTTCACAAATTGTACCCATGTGGGGAATCGAACCTGGGCCTTTGGCGTGACGAGCGAACGCTTTAACCACTAGGCTACCCCACCGCCCCCCTCATCAAAGAAGTACACCAGTTCTAAATGTAAAGAAAATAAAACAATTACATCCATACAGAACAGTTTTGAGCCACCAAGGTGTGAAATCATTACAGATCGATAAAAAAGAGATTTGTAGAGCAAACCATCAGAATAATTGAATTTGCAATTTCATAAGTGAGTAAGATTTTATGAAGTTTTATGCCATTTAACAAATGTTGTTTATCTCTGAGAAACTATACTCCAGAAATTGGTGCTCAGGTTTACTCTAGATGTGGTTATTAGTGACTTTAAAAAAAATAATTCAAAATGATAATTTGTTTAAGCGAGTGAGTTTGTTTTTATGACACTTTAAGCAATATCCCAGCAATATTACAGTGATGGACACAAGAAGCTGGCTTCACATGCTGTACCAATGTAAGGAATCTGACTCAAGTCATTGACACACTGATAAAATATCAATAATAAAAATACCAATATCCCTAACTTATTTGTCCAGTATATTAGCTAGGTAAGGGATGACATACCATGAACGACCAGCCTGAAGTCCTGGTACGCCTCCCCCGCTGGGTTCTTGGCATTACATGTGTACATCGCTGCATCTGTCAGGCGAACAGAGTCAAGCGTAGGCGACCCTGCTCCGATCATGTAAACGCCGCTGTCTGCATCGGTGACGTCCATGATGGTGTTGTTCTTCTTCCAGGTGACAATGGGGGTTGGGTCTCCATCCGTCTCACACTCCAGCAGAACTGGCTCCCCCTCCATCACTGTGATGTACGACGGACCCGCGTTAATGGTGGGTGGTCCTGTGAAGAACAACATCACCTTTTTATAGTTAGTGGTATAAGGTTGGTTGTTTAAAGTCGCACTCAGCACTATTACAGCAATATGGCAGCGGTCTGTAAATAATCAAGTCTGGACGAGACAATCCAGTGATCAACAGCATGAGCTTCGGTCCACGCAATTGGGATACAATGACGTGTGTGAACGAGTCAGCGAGCCTGATCACCCGATCCCGTTAGTCGCCTCTTACGACAAGGATGGGTTACTGAAGATCAGTTCTAACCCGGATCTTCACGGGTCTATCAAGACATATACAACAGATGCAGTTTCCCCCGACTCATAAATCTACAATGTAAATAACATACTTGCACTTGAGTGTTGTGGTGGGGTTTATTAATTTACTGAGTGAGTGAGTGAGTTAGTATTTAACGTCACATCGGCAATATTATTAATTTACTGAGATCTGATTATCAATCCGCATATTGTGAGCGATAACCAGCACTACTTCAATCAGATATCATCTGTGTTAGCAATGGCTTTCATTGACAAACTACTATGTTGAGTTATGCCATTACTTACTGACTGACTGAGTATAGTTTTACGCCATTTTAAGCAATATTCCATCAATATCACGGCGGGGGACACCACAAATGGGGTTCACAAATTGTACCCATGTGGGAAATCGACGAGAGAACGCTTTAACCACTAGGCTACCCCACCGCCCCCATTACTTACTGAAGACAATCAGTGTGATGACTTTAGTCGTGTTGCCGGCAACATTTGAGGCAACACATTCATAGATGGCCTTGTCTTGGAGTCTGGCTTTCTTGATGAACAGGCCTCGTTCCCTGATGTGGATCCTCGATGACCGTGGACGGAATGGAGTAAAGTTCCGTCTCCAGAATGTTTTGGGGTTTGGTTTTCCCGTGGGATTACAGGGAAGTAGTATACTCTCGTGTTCCAAGATTTCATATGTCTCATCAAGGGCGCCGTCAATAGTGGGAGCAACTAAACAATGATACAGAACAGTTTATATATCTACATCCTTTGACAGGGAAGCCATGTGATGGTATGAAAACACTTAAAACATGCTTCAAAACAACTTTTAATCCTTTCCATACCTCAAATTAATGAAGAAAATACAAAATGCTGGTATGCTCTTTGAGTGAGTGAGTTTGGGTCTTACACCACTTCCAGCAATATCACGGCCAGTGACACCAGAAATGGGCTTCACACATTGCACCCTTCAGCGTGATGAGCTTTAACCATTGTTCCTATATTCTTTTGAAATGTGAAAATGAACTTTGAAAAGACTTTCAGGATAATAATACTCTTATAATAACATACGTGGACAAATATGCATTTCTTTTAGAGTAAATGTATCCTGACACATGCTAATTCCTTGCTCTGGGCAAGATAGTAAGATTGGTCTTCTTGGAAAGATCTGGAAATGGATAGGTCAGATTGGGATCTCTTGGAAATGTGCAATTTATATTACATTTTTTAATATATGTGTTTGTATGCATCTATATGGAAGAAATATGATTTTTCCTGTTTGTGAAAATCAGTTTTCTTGCACAGGTAACTTACTCCTGACATCAAGGGTCATGACCTTCTCAGTGCCGCCAGCTATGTTGGAAGCAACACATTTGTAGGAGCCAGTGTCACCAGGGTCGGCGCTGAATATCTCCAGGCTGCCATCGTTGCGCACAAAGTAGTGGATATCGCTGAGGGAAATGGGGGAGCCGTCCTTGTACCACTGAAACGTGGGTCGAGGGTCGCCCACAGCTCGACACGGCAACACTATCCCTTTACCTTGGTTAACGCTGAAGTTCCGATTGCCCTCAAGGTCATCTTGGATTAGCCTAGGAGGAACTGAAAGCAACAAAGTATTGAAACTAACCAAAACACTTCCTGCATTTGTTGATAAATGTAAAATGTTTATGGACAAAATATTGCTTGTTTATTCTACCTTAATATTTCAGAAATTAAAATGAATAATTATATACTCATGGAAACAAATAAGGGAACACATGAAAGAACAAGTGTTCCTTTATTTACTTCCTGAATTGTGAAGAAACCTGGAAAAGAATAAAGGAACTTTTGTACTTTTATGTGTTCCCTTATTTGTTTCCATGAGTATATGATCTATTTTGTTGTTTAACCCTTTTCCTGGTCTGTAACAGTGTCAAATATCATTGATTCAAGGAATTTACTTGCATTAAATTAAAACATTAAAATGTGACCAATGTTCTCTTGAAGCAAGATGGAAGTATTCAATCATGTTTCAAGGAAAAGCACAATGACGTAAGACCACAGACACACTAAGGTTGAGGAGGAAATCTCAGGAGGAGGTTAAATACCTAACACATCCACATTGATGGAGTATGTGGCATTGCCACCGATGTTGCTGGCATGACAGACGTACTCCCCATCATCGTCGTGAGTGATGTTGGAGATCACGATCTTCCCTGGACCTGTCTTTTTTATCCTGCCACCAGGGGACAACACGCGCCCATTTTTCATCCAGTTGATTTTGGGTGTGGGTTTACCGAGCAGTACGACACACTCCAGTTCTGCTTTCTCTCCCAGTTGGACCTTTACAATGGGGTAGGTGTAGGCGATGAGTGGCCGCACTGAAACAGTAAAAGGTAGGATACGTGTAGGCGATGAGTGGCCGCACTGAAACAATAAATGGTAGGATACTTGTAGGCGATGAGTGGCCACACTGAAACAATGAAAGGTAGGATCCGTGTAAGCGATGAGTGGCCACACTGAAACAATGAAAGGTAGGATATGTGTAAGCGATGAGTGGCCACACTGAAACAATAAAAGGTAGGATACGTGTAGGCGATGAGTGGAAACATCGTGTGGCCGCACTGAAACAATAAAGGATTGGATACATGCAGGCGATGAGTGGCCGCACTGAAACAATAAAAGATAGGATACGTGTAGGCGATGAGTGGCCACACTGAAACAATGAAAGATAGGATACGTGTAGGCGATGAGTGTCCGCACTGAAACAATAAAAGGTAGGGTATGTGTAGGCGATGAGTGGCCGCACTGAAACAATAAAAGGTAGGGTACGTGCAGGCGATGAGTGGCTACACTGAAACAATGAAAGGTAAGATATGTGTAGGCGATGAGTGGCCGCACTGAAACAATAAAAGGTAGGATACGTGTAGGCGATGAGTGGCCGCACTGAAACGATGAAAGGTAGGGTATGTGTAAGCGATGAGTGGCCACACTGAAAGAATGAAAGGTATGATATGTGTAGGCGATGAGTGGCCACACTGAAACAATGAAAGGTAGGGTATGTGTAGGTGATGAGTGGCCACACTGAAACAATGAAAGGTAGAGGCGATGAGTGGCCACACTGAAACAATGAAAGGTAGGGTATGTGTAGGGATGAGTGGCCACACTGAAACAATGAAAGGTAGGATATGTGTAGGTGATGAGCGGCCACTCTGAAACAATAAAAGGTAGGATATGTGTAGGCAATGAGTGGCCGACCTGAAACAATAAAAGGTAGGATACGTGTAGGCAATGAGTGGCCGCATTAAAACAATGAAAGGTAGGATACGTGTAGGCGATGAGTGGCCACACTGAAACAATGAAAGATAGGATACGTGTAGGCGATGAGTGGTCCGCACTGAAACAATAAAAGGTAGGGTATGTGTAGGCGATGAGTGGCCGCACTGAAACAATGAAAGGGTATGTGCAGCATGATGAGTGGCTACACTGAAACAATGAAAGGTAAGATATGTGTAGGCGATGAGTGGCCACACTGAAACAATGAAAGGTAGGATATGTGTAGGCGATGAGTGGCCACACTGAAACAATGAAAGGTAGGATATGTGTAGGCGATGAGTGGCCACACTGAAACAATGAAAGGTAGGGGTGTAGGCGATGAGTGGCCACACTGAAACAATTAAAGGTAGGGTATGTGTAGGTGATGAGTGGCCACACTGAAACAATGAAAGGTAGGATATGTGTAGGCGATGAGTGGCCACACTGAAACAATAAAAGGTAGGGTATGTGTAGGCGATGAGTGGCCACACCTGAAAAACAATGAAAGGTAGGAGCCGCCACGGTAGGCAAATGAGTGGCCGCATTAAAAATGAAAGGAAAGGTAGGTAATGTATGTGTAGGCGATGAGTGGCCACTCTGAAACAATAAAAGGTAGGATATGTGTAGGCAATGAGTGGCCGCACTGAAACAATGAAAGGTAGGATATGTGTAGGCGATGAGTGGCCGCACTGAAACAATGAAAGGTAGGGTATGTGTAGGCGATGAGTGGCCACACTGAAACAATGAAAGGTAGGATATGTGTAGGCGATGAGTGGCCACACTGAAACAATGAAAGGTAGGGTATGTGTAGGCGATGAGTGGCCACTCTGAAACAATGAAAGGTAGGATATGTGTAGGCGATGAGTGGCCGCACTGAAACAATAAAAGGTAGGGTACGTGCAGGCGATGAGAGGCCGTACTGAAACAATAAAAGGTAGGGTACATGCAGGTGATGAGTGGCCGCACTGAAACAATAAAAGGTAATTTAGTCAATTAAGAGATAAGAGTGAACTTTTCTGCTCCGGACTCCCAAGGAAAATACGCCTGAGATACCGGGAATCCTTTCTGATCTGGTTTTGGTTTTGTTTGTTGTTTTCCAGCTATATTGCGGTGATCTGTAAATAATCACATCTGGACCAGATAATCCAGTGATAAACAGCATGAGCATCAATCTATGCAATTGGGATACAGATTCTAACTCAGATCTTCACAGGTGTTTCTGTTCTAAATATCTGATGGACTCAAGCATAAGGTAATGGAGACCAATTCCACATCCAAATCTTTACCAAGTTTCATGACATTTAGCTAGCTCACCTATTCCTGTGACACTGACAAAGGCAGATGCATCGTTAACACCAAAGGCATTCTGAGCCAGGCAAGTGTAGATACCCTCGTCCCCGAGCCCGATGTCTGAAAACATTCAACATACATCACTAAATATATCTCAAGGAATAAGTGCCTATTCTAATAACACCAGCAGAAAAATATGAGAGTGTGTAACACTGATCATCTAATAAGAAAGTTCCAAAAATCCTTTTTACTCAAAAAAGCACCAGTGTTTCCATGGAAAGATACTTCCCATCAAAAGTTTAGACTCACTTGTGTAACAGGCAACTGTAAAAAGTAAATTTTGCATAATATTCCATACTGTTAAAATGTACCGTTTACACATGAACTGATCTATTGTACAACAAATTCGTAACGTTGGAAAGATTATTGCCATGAGTTCAGTAAATGATACAAATCAGTGAAAATTGGCAAATTCTTAACAAAACTTTACACCAAAACACAGCTGTTCACATGCACGACATTTGCACATTTTTCAGAAATTTGATGCATGATCTTCATGCAATTCATCTACATGAAGTTTGCAGTTGGTTTCCCCAAGTTAGTGGAGAAATCAATCTTTGATGTAACCATATATATATATACATAACATATAGTGAGTGTTTTAAATGAGTCTAAACTTTTGATGGGAAGGATACTTACATTAATTCATTTCATATTTGGGCATGTAAAAATTAAAAACGTTAACATAACAGTTCTTAAACTCAGTTAATATAACAGTTCTGTAAACCTAGTCAGTAAAACTGAAATTAGTTTACTAAATCTGCTCACTTGAAACATGCAGTCCACCAGAAGGCAACTGTTGGAATCTGCCACTGATGTCGAGAGGCTTGCCATCACCACGTCGCCATATGATCTTTGGTGGCGGCATCCCTGTTGCCTCACACTCAAGAGTGCCGTTCCTCTCAATCTCAATCCCAACATTGCCTGGTGGTCTGATTATCTCCGGAGGAGCTGAAACAAACAATAGTCCAAATCGCTTGGAGTGAGTGGCCGAGTGAGTTTAGTTTTACGCCGCTCTCAGCAATATTCCAGTTATATGGCGGAACGCTGTAATTAATCGAATCTGGACCAGACAATCCAGTGATCAACAGCATGAGCATCGATCTGCGCAATTGGGAACGGATGACATGTGTCAACCAAGTCAGCAAGCCTGACCACCCGATCCCGTTAGTTGCCTCTTACGACAAGCATGGGTTACTGAAGGCTCATTCTAACCCGGACCTTTACGGGTTGCTTGGAGTGAGTGAGTACGCCGCACTCAGCAATATTCAAGCAATATGGTGGCGGTCTGTAAATGACAGCCCCGCATCAATGGTGGGTGGTCCTGTGGAGAACATCACGTTTTTCGTGGTAATAAGTTGGTTGTTTAACGTCGCACTCAACAATATTACAGCTATATGGTAGTGGTCTGTAAATAATCAAGTCTGGACCAGACAATCCAGTGATCAACAGCATGAGCATCGATCTATGCATTTGGGAACCATTAACATGTGTCAACAAAGTCAGCAAGTCTGACCACCCGAGTCGCCTCTTACGACAAGCATGGGTTACTGAAGATCAATTCTAACCTGGATCTTCACGGGTACAACTCACTTGGAATGAAAGAGTGAGGAATAACTTGTCTAACTGCTGTTAGTCATATTCCTGCTGTATTAAAACTGCAAATAATCGAGTGTGTATTAGGCAAACAAGGTTAATGGCAAGTATTCAGCCAAATCACAGAGCCGGACAAAACAATTCCTCATCTCCACTCGCACTCTCTACAGGTCCTTGTAACCTGATTCAAGTTGAAATCAAAATTTGTCAGTAGTTCAAAGTTCAGGTAACGTGTGCCAGACTATTTAAGGGAGTCAAATTTGTGATATAATTTCTCTTTAAAGGTTTATATGTACTGTACTAGTCACAGTCCCTCAATGATAACTTTCTTTTTCCACCCAGCCCTTACTGTGAGTGAGTGAGTGAGTTTAGTTTTACGCCGCTCTTTACAATATTCCAGCAATATCACAACGGAGGACACCAGAAATGGGCTTCGCATATTGTACCCATGTGGGCGATCTAACCCGGGTCTCTGGTGTGACGAGCGAATGCTTTAACCACTAGGCTACTGACCCCAGCCTTTACTGTAATGATATAGTCTAAAATAAAGCAAGTCTAGATTTTCAACAATGTCTCCCATTTCACTGAAGCACCTTTTTTAATTTTAGTGTAGTTGTTTGCTTTTGTAAAATATTTAGTTTCAGTGAGTGAGTGAGTGAGTGAGTTTAGTTTTACGCTGCACTAAGCAATATTCCAGCTATATGGCGGCGGTCTGTAAATAATCGAGTCTGGACCAGACAATCAAGTGATCAACATCATGAGATTTAGTTTCAGAGACTAAACATTTGTCTAATATGTTTGGGGAATGATGGACTGTCCTTTACTTACACCCGACTTCCAGTGTCACTTTAGCGTTATCGGAGCCGGCTTCATTGGTAACAACACATCGGTAGTCTCCTGCATCCATTTCCTGCACATTCCGGATGATGAGGCGGCCATTGCGGGTGATGTCCACATTATACGCTGACTGAAGCTGAAACAGTTCATTTACATCATGTAATATCAGTCAGAATACTGTACCTTCTCATGCTCTGTCCTAGTACTTATACTGGGTACTGATTGACATGGTAAAAAAGTAAAGAATGTCAGTATGATATATTTAAGCCAGAATTACAACAAAATGCTACTACCACTTGTACTATGGAACTGGACGCTTATACTTAACTTTTAAGTGAAATTCAACTAAATATAAACTGTTCCACTGATGTTTGAGTGAATGAGTGAGTGAGTGAGCTTCAACACTGCCTTGAAAAGAATTTCTGTTATCTTCTTTGCGTGTCATTTTAGAAGCTGGGAAGTACAATATAGACAAACTTGATGGATAACAATTTCTTTATTTCATGAGCGTGACATTTCGATACAGATTCCCTAACTGTTGTAAAGCATGTCACTTCATGTCGCATTCCTGCTTGACAACGGTACAAGAATCTGTATTGAAATATCACACTCACAAATAAAGAAGTTATTATCCTTAAAGTTTATACCGTATTTCAGTTATATAGTCGTGTGTCGGTTTAACATGGAGGTAAGCTTAAGTGACACAGTTATTAGTGGTGAGGTGAGGTGAAATTGGGTTTAACGTCGCGCTGGAGAATATTTCGCTCATATGACGACGTGCATGCGTGTGTATGTGTATGCGCGGCTGTTTGTACTAGCCCAGACTGAAGCTGGTTTTATAGTGCTAGCCCACTGATATACCGTGCCGCAGTGAAGCATGAATACCCCACTCAGACACATCATACTGACTCCAAGCCGACCAGACCTTGTTGTACCCATTAATGCCGAGCGCCAGGCAGGGACCAACAAGTACCATATTTTAACGTCTTTTGGTATGACACGGTCAGGGATCGAACCCATGACCTTCCGCTCTCTGGGCGGATGCTCTAACCACTACACCACAGAGGCGGTCCACATTTATTAGACATTTATGGATGTTGGAACATTCCAAAATAGTAAGAATATCTGAAAAATGCCCTTTACCTTCCGGTCTCCCCTGTACCATGTTATCTCTGGCCTTGGGATGCCCTCAGCCTCACATGTTAGTCGAGCTCTGTCACCAGAAGCAACCAGCATCCTCCTTTCATACTGACGAATACGTGGCGATTCTGCATTAGTTAAAAAATTGATTCAGCCTTGTCACATGTTGGCAATTTTCATGTCAGGCAAGAAAAATCTTTTACAAAAACAGAAGTCAATGCTGAAAGGACATAATTTGCAAGAACCAGTTCATGATGTGGGATAAGCTTGTCAAAGAAGCTAGTGAACTGAATGTTCAAGTAACACCAAAACCCGAGTGAGTGAGTGAGTGAGTGAGTGAGTTGTGTTTAACGCCACTTTGAACTGTATTCCAGTTATAACACACATGTTGTCTTAACTGTACTTGACAGCATCATAAACGAAGATCAAAAAGGATTTATGACAGAAAGATATATAGGTGAAATTACAAGACTTGTCTATCACCTAATAGAATATACAGAGAGTTATCAGCTACCAGGACTATTATTACTCATAGATTTTGAAAAGGCTTTCGATACTGTAGACTGGAAATCCTTAGATAAAACACTTGAATGCTTTAACTTCGGAAGTTCTATTCGAAATTGGGTTAAAGCCTTTTATAATGACATTGAAACTTGCATACTGGTATATGGATTTGGCTCTGATTTCTTCAAAATTTTAAAGGGCTGTCGACAGGGAGACCCTCTCTCCCCATACCTGTTCATATTATGTGGGTAATACACTGGGTAATATGATCAGAAATAACTCAGAAATATCCTGGGCATAAAGACTGATAATATCGAATATCTCTTAGCACAATTTGCTGATGATACCACGTGTATGCTTGATGGCACTGAGCGTTGTCTTTATGCTGTAATGCAAACATCAGAACAATTTGCACGCTTTTCTGGACTGAATGTAAATGTTGATAAAACTAGGATTTTGTGGTTGGGATCAAAGAAATGTTCCAGAATGAAATTATGCCCCAAGTGGAAACTAAATTGGGATCAAGATTCCTTCTCACTGTTGGGTATTAATTTTAGTTTAGACCTAGATGATATGATCAAAATGAATTATGATGAAAAGCTTTTAAAATGCCAAACCTTGATGAATTTATGGTCTGCCAGAAACCTCACCCACCTTGGTAGAAACACTGTGTTAAAATCACTTATTTTACCAAAACTCAATCACATTTTTTCTTCAATTCCAAATCCGCCTGAAACTGTCATTAATGATTTTCAAACTAAATGTTTCAGATTCATTTAGAAAAATAAACCCGATAAGTTAAAGCGAAATCAGGTTATATGTAGTTCAAACGATGGAGGTTTCAAAGTACCCAATATAAAGGAGATAATGCAAGCACAAAAGTTGTCTGACTCTGAGGGTGTGGGTTCGAATCCCGGATGGGACTCCACCCAAAAAGTACTAGAATCTGTACTTTACTAAGAAAGTGTAATCCCAAATATAACATATGTTACATTTGACCACTTTCTAAAATGGCATTGTGTATTTCATAACTGGGACTTAAACTCTTAATCCGAGGTTTTGTACTGAAGGGACATAACTCTGCACAATGAAATAAGAGCTGGGCATGAGCAACCTTTCCTCATTTGGAAAGCAATCAAATAAATTAATTAGGCACTCAGATACACGAGGTTATAACAAATGAAAATCAGAGAATGAAATACTCACCAATGTAATTTACTCGAGCAATAGCTATGTCCTCTCCTGCTGGGTTTTTGGCTAAGCATTCGTAATCCCCTTCATCAGTTCGTCTGATCTTTTTTATTATCAGCACACCATCGTTGAAATAGATTCGCTTCGTAGGAACTATGAACTTCCCTCCTCTCATCCAGCTGTATTTGGGTGGAGGGTATCCGTCGGCAACACAAGTAACGTTGATGGTTCGACCAATGAGGAAGTTCTGAGACCGGGGAATAGTTCTGGCAATCGGGGGTTCTAAACATTTGGGTCAATATTAAATAAACATGAAAAAAAGCCAGAGCTAGATTACTTTTACAATAAACAGAAAATGATAAGTAATGATATTAACAGTTAAGTTTCTAACATCAAATTGTCTTCATCTCACAGTTAATGACATATTAATGTTAAGAAATGATACCTGTCATACACATACTGTAAAGGAACTGATAATATTTATCTCATATTTCAGCAGTGACATACAGATGGCATGAAATAACATTATACCTGTGGCATACATAAATTATCTACCCTGTGTAATTAATATGATATATAACACAAATAATATATACTTGTGTTATAAAAGTACATTTTATATTTGGAAATAACATGATACGTAACATCTCTCCTCTGGTATATACACATATAAAACATCACACCTCTGGTATATACACAATATAAAACATTTCACCTGTGGTATATACACAGTATCAACATACTGACCCCGCATGATATATTTACAATATAAAACATCTCGCCTGTGGTATACATATCACATAAAAATCTCACCTGGTGTATTTTTACAACATAAAACATCTTGACTGTGGTATAAGCACAATATATGCAACTTGTGGTAAATATACACAATGTATAACAGCTCACCTTGAAGCCTGAGGAAGACCTTGTCCTCGGTGGATCCCCCTTCATTACTGGCCTTACAGACATAGAGCCCCACGTCCTCCCTCTGAACATTCCTGTACACAACAATACACATTCGATGTACAGATAACCATTGCAGAATCATAGGGAGATAAGACTGACCAATCATAATGAAACTGAAAGGAATTCCAAGACACTTTATTACGTAACGGCTATATCCCAGTGACAGAGTCAAGATCTGCAAACAAGGTCAGTTTTCAACAGATTTTGTTGAGACTGTTGTTTGTTTAAGCAATGGTTAATGACCAAAAACCCATGCAGAGACAAGGGCAGCGGTTCAGGCGTTTGCTTGTCAAGTGGAAGTCCAGGTTCAGTTCTCCACATTGTGAAGCCCATTACTGATTTCCCTGACAATTGTATTAAAGCCATACTTACTCACAGACAAGAAATGAGCTGTTTGGCACATGTTTTCACCAGGAATTCTTATAATGTCAGCAGGTTGACATCAATTAAAACTTCATCTAAAGGCCTTTATAACATTAACAAAGTCTGGTTGACAGAAAGGTGAAAAGTACTGAAGCTCACCTTATAAACAGAGACCCATTTGACAGAACACTGACTCTAGGATCCAGAGCTACGGGTCCGTATCGCCCAGGTTTATACCATGTCATGTTGAACTCCACTGTACTGAAGGCATTACAAGTGAGTATAGCACTGTCACCCAGGAGGACAGAGATGTTCCATGTCTTGGAGATCACTGGAGGTGGATCTGAAACATTCAATTCCGATAAATATAATCAAATACAAAATACTGACACACAACACTTTTTGAATACCCCCAAACCACAGTTTTGATACAGACATAGGTAAAATCATCTAAGGCACAAGAAACACATTAATGAAATACAATCAGGAAAGTTGTCTGTCACAATTTGATATTAGTTCATCACAATGGAGTAGCTAATCACTCTCCTGAAATTGAAACTAAAACATTTCTGCCAACACTCATGAAGTATCTACTAAAACCTTTGCCAGATAAATTTGTTCCAGATGGCACTTCCATAAAATGTACCAACTGTTTCTCTTGAAACATATTCTTCACCACTATAACGCTATTACCTAACAATGAAACCTTAGAAAGCTGTAAAACGAGAAACGAATGCTCGCGAATATTTTTGAATTTCTGTTTTTCAGTGGGATTGTAAATCCATCATAAATCATTCAGGTACCACATTAATGAATGAGTGAGTGAGTTTAGTTTTACTCTGCACTCAACAATATTCCAGCTATATGGCGGCGGTCTATAAATAATTGATTCTGGACCAGACAAACCAGTGATCAACAGCATGAACACCGATCTATGCAATTGGGGTCAGCGGGCCAGACCACTCGATCCCGATAGTCGCCTCTTATGACAAGCATGGGTTACTGAAGATAGTTCTACCCCGGACCTTCACGGGTCACCATATTATTGAGACTGAAACATACCGCTGATGTCAAGATACGTCTTTGTGGTGGCACTGCCAGCAATATTGGTGGCATTGCAGACATAGTCTCCCTCTGAGCTGGACCCTGCTCGGGGAACCTCTAGTGTTGCATTGGCCGAGTCACTGAAATAAAGTGGGTTTTCCCCAGTCAATGAACTTGAATCATTCCTTCATAAGTCAATAGTTTAGCATTTTCAGTGAGGCAACAGTCAGGCTATATCAAGACAACCTTTCACGTCTTGTATGGTACTGGTAGTATTGGCTCATTAGCAATGACTCTCTCACATGGTACACTGACATCGAGCAGGGTGATGTGTGAGCGAGTTCAATTTTATAGTCATTTTAGCAATATTTCAGCCATATCGTGATTGAAAAGGGTCATATTTAAAATCTGTCTGCAAAGGACAGTATAAGCAGGTTGATATGAAAACCATTAGAGAACAAACTACGCCTAAACACATTTAGATAATGAAGCCATCAAATTAAATATATACAGCTTATGATAAATTTAATTTAGATAATTCATATTCAAGACTAAAACTTAGAATAAGGTGGATGATTTAAATAGGATGGCTTGGATTACAGCACAAACAACAATTTCCAAAACCATCCTGTTGATTGAACATGGAGAGTGACTTGTGGTCATGTAATTCCAGTGCACCTACAGGATACAAGGGGTGTTCAGGTGAGATGTTTTTCTGTTCTTGTTGAACACAACAAAAGAAGTTTCTACTGACTGAGTTTAGTTTTACGCCGCTTTTAGCAATATTCCAGCAATATCACGGCGGGGGACACCAGAAATGGGCTTAACACATTGTGCCCATGTGGGGAATCGAACCCGGATCTTCGGCGTGACGAGCCAACGCTTTAACCACTAGGCTACCTCACCGCCCCAAAGAAGTTTCTAATACAGTTCAGGAGAATGAGAGAAAACCGAATTCTACTCTTCCCGATGAGTCCAACTCACTAGAAGCTCATGTCATATCCCATTTGTACCCCCCTTCGAAACCATCGGACGGTGTAGGGCTTCAGAAACCATCAACCCGGTTGATTGTAGGGCACCAGACTCTGCACCGTGCATATCAACGTACATCGCTGTCTGGTCGGAAGAAACCAGGTGAGCGTAAGATCTGGCATGGACACTGTTGGTGCTGTTGGAACACGTGGGCTGATGGCTGTGGGTGTGGTTCTCCGTAGTACATAACCCTGGTGGTCTATACCATCAACCTGTGAATGAAGAGTTCAACAACAACGACAGCAACAACCACAAAAAGAATGACGATGATTGAAAATAAATAAATAAAAATAAATGGAAAGAGAAGAAAACAATTAGGCACAAGAAAGCCACCAACAAAGGCATTACTGAACAACCTTGAGGTAGAAGAATTCGTTGGGTGGAATGAAGGATGTGACATTGTAGAGGGCAGGGTTGGTTGGATCTCGGGACACGGGGAACTCAATTAGTGCCTCTCCCTTCAGGTCAACCAGCTCCAGTCGAGTCAGTGTTGCAGGAGGGTCAAGGTCAGTTGCATTGATCACCACATGGGTTGGAATACCTGGAGAATAAGGATTAGTGAGATTTGGTTCATGTAGCTTGTAACAGTAGTTACAGTGAGTGAGGTAAAATTTTGCATAGACACTATTTCAGCCATATTGTGTGAGGAAAAAATAGTAACAAAATCATGACATGTAATGGTATGTGTTGGACAAACTGAAAGCAACAGCCAAAAACATGAAGCTGAATATCCTGGCACAACTAAGGTATGTAACTCTATACAGGAAATTGTGGCACCCAAGAAAAATTGTGGCTAAGGAAAAATAATAACTGCTAAAATTCTCAAGCACCATATTTAAACAAGGCCAAAAACTAAGATGTCTTAATAGAGTAAACAGAACTAATTAGCTGAACTATCAGACTTAAATAACGAGAAGTCTGTATCATAATTTTGTTCAAAATGTCTAGGTGGGTTGGTAAGCCACACACAGCAATATAATGGCAGTCTGTACATAGTCATGTCTGGACAAAACCCACATCTTGGGGTAAAACAAGACACAATCAACCAGTATGACTGATTTGTCACCTCTTGTGATCAGGCAACGTTGTGAGGGACCTCTTCTAACACAGAATCCACACTGGGTTGCAAACATTAGGCAGTTTTACAAGGCATGAGGCATTTAACTCATAATTAAGCACTGAAATAATCAGTTTGTTTGGTCTGGCCTATCATAAATTTTAACATATTTACCGTCAACAGGTCTGAGACTGGTCTGAGAGAAGTCGGTGCCTGGTTTCTTGGCAAAGCCTGCAGCGAAGTCGACGGTGCTGAGGCGGTGACTCTGATGGTGTGTGGGCTGCCGCTGGCCACCTCCAGTTCCCAAATTCCAGGAGTGGGGTCTTTCACGTTATGGATCAACACGTTCTTGATGTTCAACAATTCCTTGATGTAGTTCTGGGAGCCGTCATACTCGAACAGGGAGTCGCCTATCGGGACCTGGTTGCCTGGAAGAGTGAGTTGGGATTGATGCTGGTTAGAAAGGTATTGCAGCTGTGACAGAAGTCTATGAGCACACAAGTCAGAGAATCATAACCGCTTTAATCATTCACACCTACATCTAGTTTACCTCATAGGTATGGGTGTGAATGCAAATTCTTAACGAACCATGATGGAATGTTGGTGTAAATTTGTTGGTGTTTTCAGTGAGTGAGTGAGTGATTTTAGTTTTACGCCGCTCTCAGCAATATTCCAGCTATATTGCTGCGGTCTGTAAATAATCGAGTCTGGACCAGACAGTCCAGTGATCAACAGCATGAGCATCGATCTGCGCAAGTCTTACGACAAGCATGGGTTACTGAAGATCAATTCTTAACCGGATCTTCACAGGTCTGGTGTTTTCATCAACAGGGTCTTGACAAATGAGGTTTAATCATACCAGGGGTCACTGGACAGTAAGGGTGGGTATTGCAGAGAAGTTTCATATTGCTATATATTGCGATGCGAAAGCATGTACTGCGATATGTATTGCAATATATTGCGTGAAGAATTTTTACACAAAAAAAACACTTATAGTCGAGGAAATGCTTGATTTATAGAGCAAATACACAGCAAAATCACTATGCTTGATTAAGCTTTAATAACTTTTATTCATGATTAAAAATAAAAATGTGAATAATATTTGGCACAAATGAAAAAGGAAATATCTCAAGATTTCCGAGTGTTACGAAGTTTTCCGAATGCAAGTCAAAATACAGGTTTTCGATCAGCATATCGCAATACGTATCGTTTTCATGTCTGAACCGGTAAATACCGGTAAACCGGTTATATTGCGCAGCCCTACAGGACAGTGTTGAGATGAGTCCAAGTGCAAGTGTTTAGATGAGGACAGTGCAAGTGCATGCTCTTCTGAGAAGAATTAGGGCTGAGGGTGCAATATTCATTTAGCTGAAGTGCACATGCTTTTGAAAGCTATTTTCACTACAGAAAGTAAAAGATTTGTTACACCTTGTAAAATTATACAGGGTCTATCCTTCTATCACCAAGTTCTTTGAAGACCATCATTGACTCAAGAGCAAGTCCTGGATGTTACTGCTTACCATCTGGATCTTAGACGATCTCGAGGTCTCCACTTACTATCTGGGTTTAATAGTATCGAGGTCAACATACCGTCTGGGTCTCTGAGTACTATTCTCGGTGTCTCCCCGCTGACCGATACAGTGATCTCCTGAAGCTGTGAGTCGATGGGGATGGGGAAAGTCTGTGTCCGAGCCGTGTCCTGGTCAACCGACATCAGGTTGACCTTCCGAGCCTGTACCGCCACTCGCACAAAGTTCAGCACCTACACCAACCAAACATGATCACTTTGAACAACGGTCAATCTAAATAACCAACAGCCACCAAGGAATTAGATGATGTGACTGTTCTGAGAGAAGGAATGTTACCAGCACTGAGCATTTAGACAATGACTTAAGGTTTTATTCACAAGTGACAGATAATCAGCAATTCATAGTTCAAAGAGATTACTTGTTGAAGAGAAAATGAAACATACAAAAAAATCTTAATGCCAAACCTTTACTGAAACTTCACTTCAGTCAGGCGATAGTAAACAAACTGATTTAGAGTGAGTGAGTGAGTGAGTGAGTTGGGTTTTATGCCACTTTTAGCAATATATCAGCAATATCATGGCAGGGACACCAGAAATGGGACTCACACATTGTGCCCATGTGGGGAATCAATCCCTTAACTTTAGCATGATGAGCAAATGCCTTAACCACCAGATTATCCCTTCTGCCCTAACTAATTTAGAAAAAAACAAAACAAAAATTGTATATTTCTTTTGCTTCATTTCAAGGCTAAGAACTGCTATTCTGGTGTGAGACACCGTTCAGCAGTCTCAGGCTCACCCCTTAAGTCCTTCTGATTCTTGGTACTGGTGATCAAATACATTGGTTGGTCTTATATCAACAAAGGCTGATAGAGCCCCACGTGTACCTGGTTGACTTGGGACTTCTTGAGTAGGAAGACTTGTCCAGAACTAGTGGAGGCAATTTCCTCATAGGCTTTGAACCCCTTGTGTGTGTTGTTGCCACAGTCACCAGTCAGTACAAACACCACCTGAAACAAGCGTCAGTAAATATGGTTAGCAACAAACAGATGTATCACAGCACTCTAAAACTATGTATTAGTTGAAGGCAAATATTACCTTCCACACAATCAGCCAGGTGACAAACAGTCCTCCAGGTGACACATTTGTCTGCTCTTATGGAGATCATGGAATGATGGGAACCTAATCCACCTAAAATTCTACACAGGAAGACAAGCTCAGGTTCTGGGGACCTATTCTGCCAGGAAATCACCACAGGAAGAAAAGCACAGGTTCACAGGTTTTGAGGATCCATTCTGCCCCAGAATCTCCACAGGAAGACAACCATAGGGACCAGGGACCTCTTCTGCTCAAGAAGCTTCATAGAAAGACATTATATTTGATCATTGGCACTCTGCAAGATCCTGGGATCACTACAGTGTGTAATAGGGCCCATCAGGAACTGGAGTCAATGTATGAACATAGAATTCACGTCACCATTTAATAGTGAAGGAGTGAAGGAGTGAGGGAGTGAGTGAGTTTAGTTTTATGCTGCACTCAGCAATATTCCAGCTATATGGCGGCGGTCTGTAAATAATCGAGTCTGGACCAAACAATCCAGTGATCAACAGCATGAGCATCGATCTGCGCAAATGGGAAGCGATGACATGTGTCAACCAAGCCAGCCAGCCTGACCACCCGATCCCGTTAGTCATTGACATCAGGAACTTGAGTCAATGCATGAACATAGAATTCAGGTCACCAGTTAATAGTGAATTCAGTAATATACCAGGTGGAATCAATATTATACAACTCAACTTTATAGGCAAGAATCATTAGATCCTTTTTGTATTTCAAGGAAAGATACACAATGTCCCTACTAAACATCTAGTAGTATATCTAAAGAAATTGGGGCATCATTGACTATATACCTAGGATATAATTTGAATATATGATATGACTCATTAAGAGGGGTACTGATAATACTTTATTGGTCTAAAAGTGTGTGATAGACATGAACCGACAGCCAAGGACACTATCAATACTGTACAATCCAACACCACACTGGGCACATCCTTGAACTATGGGAAACAAAATACTTCAACAAAATTGAGGAGAGGTGGAAAATATTTTATGAATTAATGTATGTGCCAATTATGTCAAACTACTGAGTGTTATTTGTACCGATTCTTAAAACCTCCATAAAAACTTCAGATATTGATTTCAAGAAATATAGGTACACCCTGAGAAACTTGGGAAGGCAGTGCAGGTCATGTTAAAACCTGTTTAAAGAAGATGAGGATAGGGGATAGGTGAGCTACGAACACAGGTACAACTGCCATGAAGCATTAACAACATGAGGTTAAAGGAGGACATTACCCTTGAGACAAGGCAACTAATAATGACAGCAGCAGACAGATAGTATCCTTACACTGCAGAAAATACAAGCTCCAAGATGACTGATCTACAGGCATGGAGATCCCTGGTGTTATTCTGTGTGGGAGGTAGCTCTTGTTTATATCCTCAGATGGGCTTTTTTCATATGTTGTGGCATCAGTGATTATACCACAAGAATATAATTTGAATATATGTGATATGACTCACTGAGGGGGTACTGTATCATTCTTCATTGGTCTAAAAGTGTGTGATACAAATGAACCGACAGCAAGGACACTGTCAATACTGTACAACACCACACAAGGCAAAGCCTTTAACTATGGTTGTGTGTCAATCATGTCAAACTATTGATTGTCATTTGTATTCTTAAAACTTCCATGAATCTTCAAATATTGATGTCAAGAAAAACAGGTAGACCCTGAACAAACTGGGGCAGGCAGTATAGGACATGATAAAACCCATTTAAGGAAGATGAGGATTTGTGATAGGTGAGCTATGGACACAGGTACAACTGCCATGAAGCATTAACAACATGAGGTTAAAGGAGGACATTACCCTTGACACAAGGCAACTAATAATGACAGCAGCAGACAGATAGTGTCCTTACACTGCAGAAAGTACAAGCTCCAAGATGACTGGCAGGTATACTGAGATCTACAGGCATGGAGGTCCCTGGTGATATTCTGTGTGGGAGGTAGCTCTTGTTTATATTTGAGTTGGGCTTTTTGAACAGTATTTGACTCATTTGTTGTGGCAGCAAGTGAATGTGAGCTGGGTTTAAAATAGACTACCATTTAGTCTCAGAAATAGTTATTGCCTCTAAAAATATATCCCAAAATAATGGAGCCAACAATACTGCTGAATTGGTTAGGCAATCTAGGCTTGCCAAATCATTCTAGTTGGATTAATTTTTTAATTTAGTCTCTGGGGTTGGTAGAAAATCCAGGTACAACACTGCTTAAAACATCAAAGAATTTTACCTTGATGTTGGGGGAAAGCCATAACTGTATCAGGTGAAAAGCTATTTGGATAAAACTCAGAATTTAAGTGCTAATATATCAATAGTATTGTACAAGAGTGAGTATGGTTTTATGCCGCTTTTAGCAATATTCCCGCAATATCACGGCGGGGGACACAAGAAATGGGCTTCACACATTGTACCCATGTGGGGAATCGGAACCCTGGTCTTTTGGCAACACTTAAAACCACTAGCCAACACTCCCAAATTGTGCAAGGCTAAACATGTGTTGGAATAGCCAAGGTAGTAAACATGTGTTGGAATAGATGTGAGGTGAGGTGTGAGGTGAGGTGAGGTGAGGTGAGGTGAGGTGAGGTGAGGTGAGGTGAAAATTGGGTTTAACGTTGTGCTTGAGAATATTTCGCTCATATGACGACGTGCATGCGTGTGTATGTGTATGTGCGGCTGCTTGTACTAGCCCAGACTTAAGCTGGTTTTATAGTGCTAGCCCACTGAGATACCATGCCGCAGTGAAGCATGAATACCCCACTCAGACACATTATACTGACTCCGAGCCGACCAGTCCTTGTTGTACCCATTAATGCCGAGCGCCAGGAAGGGACCAACAAGTACCATATTTTAACGTCTTTTGGTATGACGCGGTCGTGGATCGAACCCGCGACCTTCCCCTCTCCGGGCGGACGCTCTAACCACTACACCACGGATGCGGTCTGGAATAGCCAAGGTAGTTTAGTCAGTTTACTTAAACATGGCATAACTAACGTACTCGTGTATGTGAGAGGACTAAATGAATCATGTTGTTTGTAAAACCAGGGTGAGGATGAAGACATCATGAAACCATTTGGTTGTGGTGCCTTAATTAAACTGAAAAGAAAAGAAAAGAAAAGAGAAACGGAAATAAAGAGAAACTGCAAATCACTACATCATGTGGAGACTTAAACTACAGCTATCCATGTCCCATGTGGGAAACTGTATGTGGATCAAGAAGGCAGGGGAGGCAGGAGTAGTTCATTCCCAATCCACAAGGGAACCATTCATACCCTGATACACAAGGAAAACGTGAGTGAGTGAGGTGAGTGAGTGAGTGAGTGAGAGAGTGAGTGAGTGAGTGAGTGAGTGAGTGAGCGAGCATGGTTTTACGCCAATCTTAAGAATATTCCAGAAATATCAAGGCAGGGGACACCAGAAAAGGCTTTACACATTGTACCCATGTAGGGATTTGAACCTGAATCTTGTACGTCACAGATGAGTAGACGCTTTAACCATTAAGCAACCCCACCAGCCTGTCTTCAACAAAAAATTACAAAGGCATAGATGACTTTGACTACCACATACATCATGAAAATAAATCAGTTTGTTAATGCCTTCATTCAAATGAAAAAGAAACAAAAACTGACATACAAATTGTTCCCTAAAACGGGTTGGCTTGGACTCTGTTATCTCAAACACTGATCTAAGGAGTTGATCTTCTGAATCAATGGAACTGGCAACTGTTTTATGTTATTGATCAGACACCTTGTTTTATGTTTTTGACCTGATTTTTTACCTGATGCTACAGTTTGTGCTGAACAGGACATTCAATAGTATGTCTTACAGTCCCTGAACCATATCATATTACCTACTGCCTAGCCCTCTCTGCAATGGTTTTGCCCTAAATGAATAGTCTAGATTTCCTCAGGTTCTGAATCTCTGGTCTCCCTGGGGCTCCTTTTCAATGTAAATGGGTTTGTTTGTTACTATCAAAATTATATATATTCAGAAACTAAGCGTTATAGTCCGTTTGGCTCAAAAGCGGACCGATGAATTGCAATCTAACTCGAAAACTAATAAACAGAAAATACTCAATGAAACACTGATCATAATCAAAACGTCAGACCAACTCTGTGAGTTTTTTTGCAAAATTTATGTCCTAAAAATAAAAAGTTGTTTAACAAACTATCATTAAAATATTGACACAGTTCACTATTTGTTATGAGGGAGGAGTGCAGAGAAAGGGACAGCCAGGTGTTCGAGAAAGGATGGAGACGGCACAGCACAGGTTAATAAATCAATAACTTTGTCGGTACTTGTGCACGTGCTTCTCTAACACCTATAGTCTAGACATTCAACAGCAAAAGGAATATGGTTGTAAAATTGTAAGTTTGTACTGTCTCAATAACTCACTAAAACTCATATAAACAACTTTATATGTTGTACAAGATCCTATCATAAGTTTGTTGCCATTAGCATCACTATATTGTTACACAGTATTTGAAATAAACTTTCGGTGGACTGTTAAGATAAGCTGTACCCACAGTGTGACCAGTCTAAACAAGTCGGCCAGTAAGTACTGTCTCAGATTTCTCAGGTGGAGTCTAGAAGATTAACACGGTTCCCCAATTTCTCTCCAGTTTCTACACTGACAGCAGAAAACCTGTTCAACATGTGTACAGAAATTGGGGCAGATAGAATGGTGTGTTCAGGTGACAAGTGTTCCCGAATGGCATCCTCTGTGATGCAGGGTACAATATCTCCATTCTATTATGATTAATACCCTTGACCTACTTGCCATCAAAGGTTTGTACTGGAAGAAACATCAACATCTCTCCAATCTCAAACTTGCCACAAAATTCCCATTGCCCATGGAATTAATTTGACTTGACAGTGGTTCCCTGC